CATTTCAAAAAGAATGAAACTATCATCAGAAAGAAATAACTAATTGAAATTGTGCTTTGTTAATGATATAATTCAAAAAACACAAATCTCTTTGCTATTAGCTAATAAGGAGAGAGAGAGGGGAAAAAAGGAAATTCTTTCTGTTGAGTCTCGCGAGACACATACGCGTCAGAATAAAAAGATTACGATGTGCGTGTTGCGTGTCCAAAAATCAAAAGAAAACAAGCAGCATTTTATCTCATATTTTCAACAGTCAGCAGTCCGGTATACAAAGCAATGAATGGAAAATCGTTGACAAAACCACATTTCTAAACGAATGAAACTATTCAAAATGATGCGATTTCTTCAAAATAAATAAACAAAAATCTGATTCGAATTTTGAAGATATCGTTTCGAGGTGCACTGGCTCTTGTCTAGATGCACCTATGTACCAAATTTTGTAGCCCTTTGTCCAGAGGCGTAGCTAGGGTTTTCAGCACCCGGGGACAACTGAAGATTTTGCGCCCCTTTCTCTGTGCCAAGAATGGAAAACATTTCATTCTAAAATTTCGCATCATCAATTTGGCGCCCCTGAAAGCTGCGCCCGCGAACAAATGTCCCCCCTTGTCCCACCCTAGCTACGCCACTGCCTGGGTCTATTAGCTTACAGCACAAACGAAAGACACATACACACAGACAGACTCTTTCTTTTATTGAATGTTTTTTTTTTTTTTTTTTTTTTTTTTTTTATTGAATGGGGCCCACCAGCGGCCGAGCGGTAAAGTCGCTGAACACTGGTAGTTCGGTCCGAGGTTCGAATCCCGCGAACGGGCTGGCTGCATGGGCGTTTTCGTGGTTTTCCCCATGTGTAACGTGTATACGAGCCAGTTTCCCTCAGAAAGTCCTCCACGAAAGGCATCCCTCCCCTTAGGCAGATAGCCCTCGAGGCTTTGCCATAATCACACACACACACTTTTATTGAATGTAGAGATAAATATCGTTTCAAACATTTTTGAAACCACAACTGCTAATTTTTGTTATCTTACGAAAAATAACTGCTAACATCATTAGTTTTTCAACGTAACTGCTTTTACAACTTGACCCACGGCAATGATCAAGCATAAATGGCGTCGTAAATTGAAAACATGAGCATTTACCAAGACCGTACGAACGACCCTTGGTGAGTCACAAAAATGACCGATTTGACGAATGTCACTGCCTTCTCTTTACAAAGGTCATGTTTATTAGTGGTACGATGAAAGCGCATGAGAAATGGCTAGTAGGAATTGTTTTGTTCTCTTAAAAGTAAAGCACATTTAAAAGGATTTTTAACTGCGGCTGCTGTAGTCGACTTAGCTAAAGAGAATTTACCAATCAGATTTTCTAACATAAGCGACATGCCATTTCTTTTTACGAAAGAAGAGGAAATTTATTTATGTTCGCCTGTGACAACGACCGTGCGAAGTTCCATTGAATAGAACCACGCTCCTGTTGAATTAAAAGCACAGGACTAGATGCTAATTGAAAGCACAGGACTAGATGCTAATCAAATTCGAACTACAATTTGTTTAGCAGAAGAATTTAAAGATGACTTCCTGACTTCATCCAGTGACAGTGGTGGCATTAATATAATACAACACCGAAAGATATCCATCTTTTAAAAATTAAACAATTCAGGATGTAGAGAAATGAATGATAAGTAAATAAACTTACTTTATTTTTTAAATGAAGTATATTACCCTAAATACGAAAATGTATTCGTAAATACATCTTTTTAGCTTAAATTTCAAATAAATTGTAAATTTTAATAACATTCATGTAATAAACTTTTTATTTTTTTACCGGTAATGATCGATACAGATAACATGATTCTGGTTTATCAAGTGATTTGATCATTTTAGAATTATTCTGTCTAAAATATACTTAGAACAGGTAAAAAGTAAATTAACTTGTACAAGATAAAAACTAAGCATGTCAACTTATAAGGTATTTCTCCCGCCTTCCTAGCGTGCCTTCGTGGTGTAGTTGTCCTGCACGCTGGACCGGTATTCTAGAGGTCCGTGGTTCGATTCCCGGCGAAGGCGATTGCTCATTTTTCATCTCTCTTGCTTTCAAAAAAAAGAAAAAGAACTAATGTCTCTGCAGTGACGCCCGAACTAAAAGGGTGTTGGATGAGGGTTCTTCTCACCCAGGATTTGGCGATTGGGTCCCCTAAAAACGCCAGTCGCCTTTTAAAAGGGGGGAGAATATAAGGTATTTTTACCGCCTTCCTAGCGTGCCTTCGTGGTGTAGGTGTTCTGCACGCCGGGCCGATATTTCAGAGGTCCGTGGTTCGATTTCCGGCGAAGGCGATTGCTCATTTTTCATTCCTTTTGCTTCCAAAAAAACCTAATGTCTCTATAAACTGTTTATAGACACATTATGAAGAATGAGAAGATATTTGCTAGGCTCTTAACGCTTCTTCTGAAGAGCGTCCCTGGCAGCTGGTTATGTTTTGAAAAGCTAATTGCTAATACTTCTATTAGCAGCTTTTTGAAACGATAAGAGCAGGTAATGCTTGAAAATCTCTAACAGTAACGGCAATGCTCTGCTAACCTTTGATGGCCAAAATCTAACGAAACTACAACAAACAATTTAATGCAAATTCATGTTAGCCTTTTACGCTGATTTTCTTCATTTCTTTCATATTCATATTTTATTTCTTTAATATGGAAATCCAGGATCACCTTAAATTATTTACTTTATAGCAGCCATCAGAAACAGAAATGAAAGCAAGGATGTATATATATATATATTTACGTGTTTGTTAAAATTTAAATTTAATTTGTTTTAATTTAAATATATATATATGTAGTTTCAGACAGACCACTCACTTCAGGTAACAACATCAACATTTAGCCGCTTTAAAAAAAACAAACTTTTAGTTTATTTACAGAATAAAGTTTTATAAAAAAGAGCATTAAATTGAAGACTTAGAAGTTGGTTTCAGAAACACAATTCGACTTAGTGAACTTTCTACCAGCAAACGGAAATACATTTTAGGAAAGACGAGAATTTCAGGTAGGTTATACTAAAGAGAACATTTGAATAGAAAGAGGTGCAGGTTAGCCAAGCTGAGGTATTCATTACTACCATGGAAACAAACAAGTAAAATATCGTGTTCTTAGTAAAGAAAGGCAGTATAAGAAACTTATTAACATTTATAGGTAATCTGATGAGTGGAATAAAGAGAATATACAGGATGTTTCATATTGAATGGGAAAAAAGAAAGCATACCTGTAAAGGCTGTAATTATTTTATTTTTATAAATCAAATTTAAAGTGAAGCTATAATTATCCAAGTTTCTATAGATGTTCTATATGTGCCCCTCCGGTGACACAGCAAATAATGTATACGATATTCAAGTTCCCGCCACACTCGTTATAGAATAACTTTCGTTAATGATTCGAGCTCTTCAGTTGCTGCAAGTCCTGGGGAAATGGAAGAATGAATACTTTGTCCTTAAAAAAAAAAAAAAAAACCCGTAGGAAAAAATCCCAAAGAGTTAGATCTAAGGATCTCAGTGGCCAACAAAGCAATGCCATATCGTTTTACCCAGCACGGCCAGTCCAGCGATGGGTTAGATAATCGTTCAGGAACTGGCGCGGTGGAGCACCATCTTGCTGCAGAATGAAGTGGGAAATCGCTTCCTCCAGCTAAAGGAACAAATATTTTGATAGCATATCTCGGTAAATGCAGTCGTTAATCGACTTATCCATGTAAGGAAACGCACCAAAAACACAACTGTTGGAAACCGCGTCCTAAAACTTCTTCTCCCCTTCGATGTTGGAACGATGTTCTTTATAAAATCTAGTGCGGAAATATCTTGAACAGCGATGAATGAGGAAGTTTCTGGAGTATTCCAAAACACAATACGCTTTCTCCTGTATGGATGGTGCCATTTTGATTACAGCGACTCTAGCAGCGATTTCGTAACCAGAAGATTTTTCGCTGTTGCCAGCTATAACTTGTATAAGTTGCAATTGCATTAATTTGTTCCAGCTTAATTCAATCAATTACAGTCTTTGTACTAAAATGCTATTCTTTTTGTTCCATTCAATATGAAATACCTTGTAGTATATTCTATCAGGAAGGCGGACACAAATTTATTTTCTCAAATATTCGAAAAATACTAGATATTTAACACATTGGATACTACAGATTTCGTTCTTTATTTTCAGGAAATATTGCACCCATCTAAAGAATATTTTCTGTTAATTTCGAAGTCAAACAACAAAAATCAGCGTTATATTTTCAAAATTTTCACAGGACTAGTTTCGATGGTTTTTACCGAACCACCATCCTCAGCTGCAAAACCGCAAATGAACAAGATAGGAAATAATGATTAGATAAGATAAGAAAGCCTGGACAAGAATAAGCAAGTGGCGCCATCTGTTGGTGAAAACAGAACTAAAACATAATTTCTTTAAAGGCGAAGGCAAAGATGGATTGGATCCAATCCAATTTTTGTTGTTTGACTTCGGAATTAATATTTATTCGGCGTGTTATTGTGTCGTAATATTTTCTGTTATTAGAAAGTGTGGTCAAAGGAGAATGTTAGTCAAGCAGGAAATGAAAGAAATATTCGTAATGCAGTCCGGAAAAATACAATTAACCTTTAAACTGCATGTAAACTTTACATGAGATTATTTACTGAAGAATAATAATAAGCCCAATATGTTTTATATGTAACACATTTCCTGCTTTTTTTTTATAAGATTAATTCTCATTTTCTTATACTCTTTCGATTTTTTTTTTTTTTTTAATCGCACAGAAATAATACTATTTATAATACAATTCATTGACGACTGTCACTGTTTAAGAATAGTAGTTAAATGGTGGAGCTTGATAAGATTAAAAATGTAGCATGAAATGTCTTTGTCATGTTGTTTTATCTCGATAAAAAAAAAAAATTACGTAAGATTTTTATCCTGCATTGAAGATATTCATTACTGCGCAATCATACGCGTTAAACCTCTGTTAGTGAAGTTTGCAGATCGTAATATAGCTGCTCCTTCAAAATGTAAACTGTGTTCTAGAATTTTGTCGAGAATTTAAACTTGTGGCAAGATTACAAGCGACATGTCTTTAAAAACTTAATTAAAAATAAGGAGTTGCTAATACAAATTTGCTCAACTCAACTCGCATGTTGTTTGTGTACAATTTACTCAGCTGTTTCTTAAGTGAAGAGGGCTGCTGCATGGGTAACAGTTTAGATGTGAAGTGATTAGGGTCGTGAATTTCTGTGCTGAGTCAAATGTAATATCGTGATACAGGAATGTAAGATATAAAGCAAAATGGATAATGCAACAAATACTCCTCAGGGAGTCAATGACAAATTTGAAAATTCTCATTATGTGTCACCGTACGTTGAAATTTCAGGCAGTAGTCATGAATTTGCTTCTGCAAATTCGTCTTTACTGTTGGATACGAGAGGCTCTGTCAACAGTTTTCTGGATGAAGCTGAAATCATACATCCTGTTTCTGATCGGAAATTTCTTCGTGCTAGTTATGAAATGCGGAAAAAATTAAAATATTTCTTTATGAATCCAATCGAAAAATGGAACGAGAAAAGTCGTTTTCCTTGGAAACTCTGCCTTCAGATAGTTAAAATTGTTATTGCTACTCTTCAGGTTGTTTTATTTGGTTACCACAGTTACAGGTATGTAAAACAGCATTTTGATATGACAACGGCATTGAGTCGGATTTTTTTGAAAGACTGGTCATTAGATGTTGCTGTCTATCCTCCGAGTAATGGACCTTATGCTGCTTATACTGTGCCAGAATTCTTCGATAATATAAACTATGTAATAATACAATATTCTAAAGTAGTATCGATTGGTATTGGACCTTATGGGTATGATAGCCCAAATGGAACAATGACTCCATTGAAGTTTTGTGCCAAACATTATGACGGAAAGATAATTCCTGAAAATTTAACTGTGGAAATAAAAAACTCTGTAACAGAAAGTTGCTTGACTATACCACTAATTCATCCCACGAGTAGTCCACTGTGGGATGATTTTTCTTTGGAGAATTTTTTGCATGCTTCAAATTTCTCTTTAAATTTTAAAACCTTAATAGATGCCAAATTATATATGCAGCTTAAAACCCTTTTTATTAAATCATTGACGAAACTAGATGTTCCAGAATGTTATAAAATCTTGATTTCTGTGTTATATGACAACAGCGAGCATGATGGACAGCTGCCAATATCTCTTTCTCTGAACTCGGATAAAATACCATGCCATATCATAACAAAACTAGACAGTGATAATGAAAATGTATATTATATGTTGCGACAGCTTTTGAACTGTTCAGTAATCATATTTTGTATGTTGTCTGCTGTTTTATGTTTGAGATCACTGTACAGTGGACGTAAACTTGCAAATGAGGCAGATTGTTTTTTTAAACGTTATTATCGAAAGTGTTTATCATTTTCTGAATATTTAGACTTTATAGACTTTTGGTATGTTAATATAATTATTAGTGATATTCTATTAATTTTTGGATCCTTAATCAAAATGCAAATTGAAGAACAGAGTGCCGAAGGTATGATGTATACAAAATGTTCAATTCTTTTAGGAGTTGGAAACCTTCAGATTTGGATTGGACTGCTACGATATTTAGGATTTTTCCCAAAGTACAACATGCTCATTCTCACCTTAAAACGCGCATTACCAAACATATTGCGATTTTTATTATGTGCTGTGCTCCTTTACACAGGATTTAGTTTCTGTGGATGGATAGTACTTGCTCCATTTCATGTGAAATTCCAAACTCTTAGCAGGACAGTAGAATGTCTGTTTGCTGTTATGAATGGAGATGATATGTTTGCAACTTTTGCATTAGTAAATAGCCCTAGTAATTTGATCTGGTGGTTTAGTAGGATTTATTTATATGCATTCCTTTTGTTGTTTATTTATGTAGTAATCTCCCTGTGCATTTCTGTGATAATGGATACTTTTGAAAATATCAAGCATATCTATAGACATGGTGAAATTCCTCAAACTACTGTGGAAATATTTCTTTCTGATGAATCATATACATCGCTATCCCCAACATTTGATGAAGTTGAAGATAATGAACCAGGATATCTTGAAAGAGCTCAGACATGGTTGAGGTGGAATTCATTCTTCCAGTATACTCGTCATAATTAATATGTATGCAACCATATGTATAATTTTAACATTTATTTATGATATATATTGTTTTTAATGTCAGTGTTTAATAGATATTATAAGAAATACTATTTTTAATGAATTTAATTAGTAATGTAAGACCTTTTTCATCAAATACCGAAGTATGATTTTAATTGTTCCTACTTTTTGCTAATACCAAACTAGAATCAAAGAAATGAAGTTATACTATTTTTTAATTTACTTTAAGTGTTTAAATGTTATGTATTGTATTTATTTTAAATGAAATTTAAATCCTATTTATGAATATATTTACAAATATTTTTATTGAGAGTTTATATATAGTTTATAAAAAAATCAATGTTAGTGTATCTAAAAACTGCAATAATTCATAATTTAATGCTATATGCCATTTAAATTATTGATTGTGAAGATTGGGAAGTAAAAGATGAATTACTTTACAAGATATATAATATTCTGGAGATAAGGACTGATATAATTTAAGTACTTAAATAATCAGTTAAAACTAGTTTACTTGTTGAACTCCTAGTTATAGCACATTGACAATTTTATTTATGTATTCAGATATTTAATATATTTCATAAATTTAAAATTGAAAATGTGTATTAAATGTTCTTTATTTTCAATCATAGTAAAACTTTCATAAAAAGATGTTTTATGAATTGCACTTAATTTGCCATATTTGAAAAAATTATGACTTGATTTCTATTAATAGTTAAAGTAGCTTTTAAATTTAATTTATATTAAAGATTTCAAAAAAACCATTATGCAGTGTTAGAAATAGTTTAATGTGTGCCATAAGCAGCAGTTTATGCAACCAGCTAGAATAAAATCAAAATTGTTCATTATATTATATTTAGAAGTTTAAAAACATTTTAGTCATTTGCAATGAAGTATTTTTTGGCAGATCTAAGACTGAATGGTGTTAGAAGGATACATTCTTTTATTACAAATCTTTGTTACCTACGAATTTTGCCAAATTTGGCAATTATATCACAGTATAAAGATAGCAATATTTTTATATACTATATTTTTAATCAATGAAAAAATTAATTCAACTTTTAATTTTCTTTCTATATTTTCCATGATTGTTCGTGTATTCTCAGTATTTAATTCCATGATGGATTCATATAATTCAGGGATTTTTTAATATATTCATTTGGTCCATGATATATCATTCCATTTTAATAATTGGTAAAGTATTAATAAAGCAGTTTTAATATTACTGTAATTGTTTTTTAGAAATCTTTTCATTTTTTAAAAAATAATCAAAAGTGCAGAATGCACTAAAATAGAAAATGTAACATCTATTACTTACAATTATGTTTCTACAGCAGTTGATAATAGAGATGAATTATTTATTTGCCCTTTAGTTTAAACTTTATTTTAATATTGATATGAAGAAGTATTACAAGATTATTAGTAATATTAAGATTTGAGCCTTACTTGTTTAAAAAAAAACAGCAATAATGATCAAAATTCTTACCATAAAATGATTAATTATTCCTAAGGTTACATATTAATAATTAGGTTGTTCAGTTGGAATTATTGTGAAAATATATTTAAAATCAAATTTAATCAATTAATAATAATAAGTAGGCATACAATGGTGCAGGTGTGAAGTATTTTAAAATGGTCAATTTTTATGAAGTTAATTTTAAAAAATTTAATAATGTCTGATAAAAGAAATAAAGAAAATTCAGTAAAAATCATTATTAAATTGTTTATCAAAATATTATGTTATCAGTTGTTAATAATTACCAAAATATTATGTTATCAGTTGCTAATAATTATCAAAATATTATGTTATCAGTTGTTAATAAGTTCTTTATTAAATTACTATGCATTATAATTAATTTCTGATTGCAAAATTTTATCTTTCTCTTAAACTGGCAATTAAGTCAGTAAAATATTGTAATATTTATAGCTACTGTGTATGGATAGAGAATGAAAAGGAAATTAATGCTGCATATCATAGAGTTAATAAACAATAATTGAACAAATTAAAACTATATCACTTAGAAGTTCCATTTTATATCTATATATCAATAAAAAGGTTTTTACATGAGTATGTATCATTATTCCTGGGGAACAAATAATCACTGTTATCTTTAATAGCAATTTGTGAAATATACAGTTATGTTCTGTTCTAAGTTTTCATGTATAAATAAACCTTCTGTATGACAAATGTAAATCTTAAGAAATACATTTGGTGTATGAAAAGATTATATCTGACAGCATGCAATTTATTTATTTTTCCATTTTTGATTTGCCATTTAATGTAATGATATACAACACATAAGCTTTTTGGTAATACAGTCAAAAGTCGTTAATTCGGACACCCATAATCCGGACCTCAAAGCTACAACCTTTCCGCGCATGTGTTGCATTGACGCATGCTCAAAAGACCTTTATGGCAGCGAATATGCATTTACGCATGTGCGTTTAATGTATAACGGACGGTATAAGCTAAGCTAAAATTATCTAATTCAGTTAATGTCGCAGATTGCGTTGTTCCTTAATATTCGAATTGGATCCGGCTTATTATTTTTTGCAGACTGTTAGAGCAATTTTATAAAAGTAAGCTTGAACTTTCGATTATGTCAAATAGAATTTCCGATATATATTAACTAATATGTGAAGGATCTACAAAGCGAAAGTATGTTTCAAAATCCGAAATCTGTTTATCAATTTCATGCTGCTCTGCGGTAGGGGGGGGAGGAAACGCCGCGGCGCGCGTGAATGGGAAGTTGATCTGTCAGCACTATCCTTATCTTCAGGGCAGATGTTTTTATTTTATTTGGCTTATAATTCCTTACTAAATGTAGTATTTCATCTCGATGTACTCCGTCTTTGATATGATTTAAATCAAGTTCTTTGTCATTTTAATTCACTTCCGATAGTGAAGAAAGTGACACAGAGGTTATTGAAAAACGAAAAAATTTCGATTGACAAATTACAGCAATTATAGGACTTGAACAGCAGAACTTTGTAACTAAACAAGAAATTATGTCTGTTTAATAAAATTAATGAGAAAGTATTATCACATGAAATGAAGCAACTTAAACAACTTACATTGAAAGAAATGTTTAATAAAGTAAACAAATAAATATTAAACTTTTTCTTTTTGTAAACTTTGATACCCTTAGATCATAATTGTTCTTTATTTCATATTTTTAATTTTGTAATTTCTGCATGCCATCTTACCAGATTTAAACTGATGATCTATAATCCGGAATCGCCGAAGTCCCGACGATTCTGGATTAATGACTTTTGTCTGTATTCTGTTTTGAGGACCGTAAAAAATTGCCAAACTATTGTTAATGCCAGTGCTGCTAAAAATAATTGCGGCAACCCTAACGCAAGAAAGGAAGTATAATAATAAATTACTGTCTAAGATGTTATTGTTTTAATTTAGATGAAAGGCTAATTTCATATAATACATTATTATTATAATAATTTATATAAAAAGAGCTAATCATAACTGAATGGAAGCATAAGAGTAAATAACTATTTCAGATCATTATTATAATTAATATAAAAAAAGGCTAAACATAACTGAATGGATTGTTATTTCGCTACCCAGTTATCACTAAAGCATAATTTCATCTCGTTGGTTGTTCAAACATTTTCTATAATGAATTATGCCTTTTCTTCGAAAAAATTCTTTTGTAGACTTTTCGTCATGGGCAATTCCCAATTGTTAAATCCATAGGATATCAAAAAAGGATTTAAAAATTAAACTAGTATTTCAATTGTCTTTTAAGAAATATAGAGCTATCTAAACTTACACAATTTGAAATCAGCGCATACGCTAGATTTGGCGCGCTGTTAAATGGGCGCGTTTGCTAGCTTTGCCAGTTTTGTGCATACATTTTTGCTGCAATTTTTTTAGTCCTCAAAACGGACTAGTACCAGATTGGTAATAGTGTATATTTTATTTCTATTTTAATTTGTAAATGTTTTAATATATTTCTTAATCGAGGATTATTTAAAAAAATTAAACTGGAATTTTTAAAAAGTGAAATTAAAGGGAAAAAAATGGCTACTTCTAATTTAAAAGGATATAGATCACCCTAAAATGCATTGTCACAAAATAGGCAACCTATGACTTGGCAAACTCTAGTTCTGTGGTAAACCAGGTTATATATGCATGTGTTGTAATAGATGAGCTTGAGTTTTTACTTTCAAACTGGATAATTATATTTGTCTGATCAATGTTGTTTTTGTACTGAGTACATTTTTTTTTTTTTTTTTTTTGTGTGTGTGTGTGTGTGGTGTGTGTGTGTAAGGAATTGTTAAAGGGACTGTGGAGTTGGCTGATGAAAACAGAAATGTTGATTTCTTCAAAAATATGGCATTTGCAAAAGAGAATGTAAAAATTCGCATTCCATGGAGTAGTACTTCTTAAGCTTATTGCTTACTTTTTAATAATTACATGTTTATGAAGAAAGGAGTTGGTTTAGTTAAATTTCAGTTAAAAGTATTAGATATAATAATAAAAATTATTAACAAGTTTCAAAAAGGAATTTTAAATATTTTTCTTCATATGATATTATGAAGGTTTAAAATTTCGAAGAGGTTAATAATTTATAATTGGACAAAGCGATTTAAGTTGCTTTGTAAATATACAGGATAATTCAGAATTCATCATCAATATTTGATGGGGAGGTAGGGAATAGGAAAAGGAGATTTCACATAGGAAAGTATGGGAGCAAACAAACACATGGTGGTGTATAGGGCCTGTGTGTACACAACTTCCATACATAAGCACAGCTGTTTGACACATGCAGCCAGTCGTCATTCGACTAAATGACTTTGCAGAAGTAACATGAACCATTATACGTGGAATGAACTTGCAGATATGCATGAAAATGCCAGGCATATTCTAAAAGGTCCGGTTGTCCATGCAATGCCATTGTGAGTCATGCATTCTAGCACATGGTTAGCAGTTCGAGCACCTCTTTGTAAGTCTGAAAAACCAATGCAAAGAAATGTTACATTTAAGATAATATATTTTTTTTCTTTACTACTTCCTTTCATGTGTTCTTTCCATCATTGAACTGGGGTCATTTTGCCCTACTACAATTGAACTGGGATCATTTTGCCCTACTACATGGCATATGTACCCATGCATTCCTATGTGAAATCTCCTTCTTTTCCTATTCCCTACCTCCTCACCAAATATTGATGATGAATTCTGAATCACCCTGTATATTATGTTACAAGCAAGACTAAATTATGGCTGATTATAGTTTTATTTTTTAAATGTATTTATAATTTGGAACAAAAATCATGTAATAATATTCTTTTTTAAAAAACTGTGATTTCATTTCTAAAATTCTATTTTATAATGAGTTTAAAGCAATTTTTAGAAATTATTTTCATATCCAAAATAAGAACTTCTCCATCACTTCTGTCTTGTTCATCTTCTAAATTCATTTAAGAGGAGTGCATATAGGGAAAGATATCAGTTCTAGTTCTTAAATTATTACACTGTCTTTCATTGGCAGAAAAACTTTTTTATATTACTGAAAAGATCCCTACTTTTTTTTTTTATTTTAATTAAGGAAATGGGATGAAAATAAGAAAATTCTTGGCTTTCTATTTGGATATACTAAAAGATACTTCAGTACATCCTGTAAAAGTTTAGAATACACTTTACTGAATATAGAACTATGTATTAATACTTCTAAATAATTACATTAATTAAAAATATGAGATCCTAGTCTGCTTTTTTCTATCAAAGAATTGTTTCAAATAAAACAATATGCATATCTAGCTGTGGCTCTTTGATTTTGTCATGTGATTTCTACTATGATGAAAGTTTGCCACTCTTATTATGTTATATTCTAGCAACAGAATAAGTGAAAGTTTCCTTTGAAAATGTATTATAATATATTTGGATTTTACCCATCCAACTCAAAGAGAGAATAAATATCGAATTTTTCTTTCTTAAAAAAATAAATAAATAAATAAATACCAGAAAACAATCAGAAAAATATGAAATTCTTAAAAGCAGGAAAGTAGTTCATGTTATAAGGCCTGAAAACTGTGAGCTATAAGAATTTGTGTAGAATGATATGCAAGACCACAGCACATCAATACAAAGGGAAAAATTTAAGTGTATTGTAATACAATATAATACTGTAGCATGAAATAATAAAAATGGTAATAACATGTTCAAAGGAGAGATTAAAAAAAAATTATGAATTCTAAATTTAATATGAAATGTGATCTTCCCTATATGCATTGAATTCCATTCCTCCAGTATTATGGCCTTCAAGGCATTTGCATTTCTAGAAGCAGGATGTCCTCATGCAACTGCTTTTCCAAGAAAGCCTATAAGCTATCAGGTTAAAATCAGGTGATTTTGATGGCCTGATTTTAATTATTTATTATTATTATTTACTAAATTTACTAATTTTATTTAATTATTATTATTTACTCAATGTCTTCACTTTCAAGGAATTTATCAATGGGTCTTACTCAATAAGGACAAGCTTTATTTTTCATAAATATAAAGTCATATTCATAGGCAGCTCTGAAAAGTCTTACATAAAGTTCTAAGACCTCATCATGATATCTCTGCCCCAGTCACAGATCTGCTGTTGAAAATGTTAGGGTCATATGCCAATCAATCATTAATCCTCCCTATACCATAACACCTTGCATTACTGAAAAGGTCACATTCCATAATGTTTGAAGAAAAATTTTATGTTCTTGACTCCTGTGAGATGTAATAATGTTTAGAGTCATATGTTAAATTCGATATTTCAGTAACAACAACTTGGAAACATTGGTGTTCATTCTCCAGTTCTGATGTTCTTTGGACTAAGAAAGCACTCTTCTTTTGTAGTGAAGACAATGAATCACATACACTTGGCTTTCTAGCATAAAGGCTTCTGCATACAGTTTGTCATAATGCAACAATTCCAGAACAGCTGCAATTCTAAACTTAACTGCCAAGCTGTAGACTTCTCGTTACGATGGACTGTTATTACCAGATATCAATCTTCAGAAGCATTTGTTATTTGTTTAAGACCTTATCTAGGCCTCCTTACGATAGCTCCAGAGATTCGGAAATTGTTTCCATAGCTTAAAGACTATCTTAATACATTTCAAGACACAGTTTTTAAGTTATGGAAACAATTTCAGACATCTCACTGCTTCGATGACTGTTTGCTCTGCTTTTAAATGGCCAATAATTTGTCAGGCCACAATTTCTCCCCAAAGATTCTTCGTAGCCCTAACAAACTGTTTCAATTCTTTACACACTTTAATCAAATGCTGTATTGCAGAAATTCTCTCTCATATTCACTTTGCACAAAACTTTGGATTCGCTGCCAGATAACGTAATGCCTCGATTTGCATATTAGAAACCATTTTATCATTTTTGATTAATGTTACTTAGGTTTGTCTTTTACATATTCCCTGCAAAAATAGATTACATAGATTGTATATTCCATGGAACACTATTATTTTTGGGTATGTACAGATAAATTTGCAGATGAGTAATTTTCAGAAAGTTAACACATTTCTTTTTCTTATTTATTAGTGCATATAACTGTTGGGGGAAAAAAGATGTTCTTTATGATTCACCAGAAAACTGGGATTATTAGACCTATGCAATGTATAATCCATTACTTCTCTGATCTAACATAAAATTGTGCTTCCAAATGACTGCCCCTTCAGATTTCCACTACTAAATGTGTTTCAGTAATTTTTGAAGTATAAGTTATTTACAGTGTCACTTGTAACATGTATATATCTTTGTATTTGACAATTTAACTTACTTTATTTGGTTTATTATTCCATATTTCTTTCTATTATTATTATGGTATGATTTACGATAAATAATCATTTTATTTAAGATGTAGTAAAATATAATTTGTTTTTATAATGACCATGCATTTGTTTAATTATTAATTATTATTATTATTTACATGCTTTACCTATTTTCTTAAAATAAAAAAAAAAAAAAAAAAAAAAGCATTCGATTAAAAGGTATAGTAAAATACAATTTGTTTTTATAATGAAAATGCATCTATGTATTTAGAACATTTATAAAATTATTCCTTCAAAGAATAAAATTTTAGACAGATTTCAAACTAAAAATTTCAATGCCATATTTATGTTTTTATCATGTTCTGTACGTGTCTGGAATAATTTTATTAAACATATTTATGAAAATAAATTCATTTATTATATATTCATATAAATATCCATTTTAGAACAAAGCTTATTTACAATTGCCACAGTGCATACATTTTTAGATATATCTCAATTTGATATAAAATTATACATATGTCACATTTCAGATAAAAATAAATTATTTTACATAATTTAATTCTTTAAAAATAAGATTAAAATACTTCTGAAATAAAAATAAATATATTATAAATAACACTTGGTAAAAAATTAAATTTCATTAAAGGAGATTGGTAACTTCATAATGAACTTTTTGCTAGCACTTCATGAATTTCATCAAAACTTGCATTTAATGCTTCTACAAATGCAGCTCCATCTTTGTAAGGAGAATAAGAGCTCACTAAAAACCCCATAATGTTCTCCAAAAAGCCATAACCAATACCAAAACCATCCTTTACAACTGGTGCAAATCCTCCACCACTAAATGCAGGTCCAAATAATGTTGATGTTGAAATTATGAAGTGATTAGCTTCAGCATACACAGGATCTTGATATAAGGCAGGAATTTTTTTACCATTCTTTTCTGCTATGTAACGTAAGCCAAACAAGTGTCTATCAAACCCTTGACCTAAAAAACACAAAAAGTTTTAGTATGTATTACGTAAACCAATGCACATCGTCCTCTAGTTTGAAATCACTAAATTTACAAGATTCAGGTTTCCTAAAAAGGATTATGTACATTACATCAAGCACTTTCAATGATAACATTCATGTTTACAAAATAATGACATAATTCATTTTGAAACTGGCAAGAGTCAATTAAAAATCTACAGTGAAACAAATTAATATGCAAGTCCTGAGAGATTCTAAATAAAAGTCATTCCAAACTTATTATAGCAAGCTTTTATAATTTTTGTAGCAAGATTACACAGATTAAAAATGCATGAAAGATTATCTAACATAAATGAAAGGGTAGAAATACATTTCCTTTTTAAATATTTTCCAAAAAGCTGTCATCATTTACAAACTGTAAAAAATTAAAATTTTTAAAATTCTTGTATGGCAGAATTTCTTTTAAATCACATACACAGGAATGCTAAGAAAGACAGATATAGAAATAACAAACAATATACTGTATTTTCCTCTGTTTTGACCATCCAAAATTTGAGAGGGAAAAATTATGAGAAAACTTTAATTTCTGAAAGATACAAATATGGTAAAAACATAACAAATGAAAAGTAGCCATGGCTATACTAAAGGTAATTATCATGTCTTTTAAGAAAACTTATACTCCATTAAGAATACAAAGTAATAATATTAACAATATCTAATAAGATATTTTCATTTCTGTAACTTCAATTTTACCTATTTTTAATCCTTAGGCCTCCAATCATCCATAAATAATTACAGTAGGTAAATATACAACTGACTCAGAGAAATCTTAGACTGAATGTCAGTTCATGTTTGCACTGCTATGATTGGTTGGTTCTTAAATTAGACTGACAATCAATAATTAGAAGAAAAAGGTTTGGCATGTCTTTTGTTGGTAGTTTAAGATAATTTACTTTCTTAGTAAGAATATAAACATCTAAACAGTAACATTATAAACACTATGTGGATTTTACATTCAGAGAAGCTCATTTTCTGAATGCACTGAGTAAGAAGAAAATTATGCGATTATTTTACATATTTTCAGAGCATGTGCTGGTGCTTAAAAGCTAGGAAACAAAATACACAAGGAAATACTGTATATGCTTTAGATGAATGATGTTAAAGAACTCCAGAGTCTAGATATGACAGTACATAATACTGAAATTCAGTAATAACTGCATCACTACTGTGTGAGCATAGAGAATGATTTTATGAAAATTTTTCTCCACATAAAACAGTTCAAAATATAACAACAGTTTATAAACATAAATGTGTTGAAATTAATTTAGTATGTGTATATTAATAATTTGCAAGCTGTTTCTCTCTAAAGTCGGCAAAAAAGTTCTCAAATGTTCTTCAAAATCATCAATCAGCTCATTATTTTTCAGTGAGGGTGTAGAAAGCACTAAGCGATGTAACAGCATATTAAAGAAGTTGATTCCAATACTCATGCAAATTTGCTATTCCCTGTATGATAAACAATGCGATTCATTGCTATAAACACATATATGAAGAGAAAAAGATCTAACAAAAAAGTATCCAGGCATTGTTTTGGCACTTTTTATAGAATAAAAAAATGAAATACAAAAAACAAGCATAAATTGTTTTTAATAAAGACATCTGAATTCATGAATCATGTATCATTTATTGAAGAACATTTTTTTTAAACCAATTATTAATTTTTATACATATTTAGTTCCTCAATTAGTCCATTTGAAACAGTTGAACAGAATGCTGATGGAACTCATTTCTCAGACTATGCAAGGTATTGCTATATTCATTTTAACTTTTATGATTATTATTTCCAGTTTTTTTTTTTTTTCCAAAGTAGTTAAATTTAGAAATAAATATAGAAAGAGAGGCATTTCCATTTTTAAAATTTTGTTGTATGAAAACCAATAAATAACCTTAACCTTTAAAGTTCGGGTATGTAATTAAGACAAAACCAGATTTAAGATAGGTTATTAGGCTAAAAACTGATTACATGTGATACAAATGTTAGTATTTCTGAATCTTATTTAAATCTAATTTTATTTTATACATTTCATAGGATATAAGTACAATAATACACATAATATTAAAGAATTATACAGGAATGCTTGCATTAGCATTGCTCACCCATTGCTGCCTCTTTTGTTAATTGATTGTGAACTTTAGTACATTCCTTCACAAGCGCTCGCAGTTCAGAATCTGAAATACGTTTCATTTTGTGGAATTCTTCAACGCATTGCTTGGTAGCTATCGTAGCTGGTCTGACAGTTTCAGTTCTTCCATGCTTAAATGCTGATGTACTGCAAGATTCATAAGTTGCCACAAATTTTCCATATATTTTATAAAATGCCATCTAGAAATTAGCAATAATAAAAGTACTAAATGAATTTAAACAATTTTTAATTAGAAAGTAATTAAACATAAAAAACAGATAACATTACGTTGTAATAAATAAGAATTCTTTTTGTATAATATATAAAACCGACCCCCCTCAAAAAAAAACTTTAAAGATTGCTGAAAAATTAAATAGAAGAAAATTTTTTGTCTTTGAATATTTTCAGCCATTCCAACATACACAGTAATGCAGTGGTCTCAAACTTGCAAGCAGGCCGAATGCACAATCTGAAAACAGATGACAGCCCATATTTTTTAACAAAATGAAAAATTTTACTAATAGTATAAAAAATATTTTAAATAAATTTTAAATTTTGTTTATTAAATATTTGTCAGAGCATACATAAACAATAATAATAACATCACAAAAGGAAAAAAATCAAATTTATATTTATTTTGTATCTGAAATCTAAAATTTGGCACCTGTAACACATTTTTGTTGGTTACATTTTGTAGTTCAAATATATTGATAGCTAAATATTAATTTTTTTCACATAATTTTAACATGTTTAATTAATTATTAAATATCTTATTCAAACTATACTATTACTTAACTACTATTAGTATTTAAATCCCTTACAAACAGCTTTGGGATTGCAATAATTTTTGCGTAAGAATAACTTAGTTTAGTGCCGTGATATTGATGGTTTGATTGATAAATTTTTATCGACTAAATGGACAAACTGATGACATTCTAATAAAAATCTAATTAGCATAAAATTAATTCACAAATAACTAAATAGCTTTATCTTTAAAAGATAATATCCTTTGTGATTAGTTAGCTACTTATTACAAAATACTTAAAAGTTATTTACCTAACAAAGAGATAATTTCAAACAGAAATTTTGAGGCAAACTTGCTTAAACTTATTAGTAAAATTATAAAACCACTAACATACTCAACTGTCCAGAATCACAGCCAGGATGAAATTACCAGTATTTTGCAACTTCATTCACTTTGTCACTTGTTGATACATAACCATTATAGGCATTTAGCTCTCAGCACAACATTTGAAATATGGTAAAAGCTCGATTATTGAGAAAGCTTGAGAAATGATGAATACTAGATAGGTGAAAATTTGGAAAAGTTGACCATATAAAAAAAAATCCAAATGAACTGAAAGATAAAAATTTATAAAAACTATCATCTTATTTGTTATCAACTTAATTTCAGAAACTGCATTTAAAGCAACGTAAGATTTCAGGGGTAGGGGAATGCATTTCTGACATAAAATGTGGCATATTTTACAGACCTTAACACATGAAAGTTAAATATTTTATCAAACTATAAAATCTCATCAACCAAAAAAGTTATCAGAGATGATATTAAACTTGCACGAATCATTCTGACAGAATTAAAGGAATAGATCATAATGTATGGATAGGTCATAATACTTCATAGTGAGAATAGGTACAATGCAAATTTGGTTCATGAACTTAATTCATTCCTGAAGGGCACTCATCATTTGAAATGTTTGCACCCCATATGAATTGATATAAAATGGATTAACCCATTCCTGGACTATAAATGATTGCTTATTTAAAGTTTAGATCAACACCATGAATTTATACCATAAAATTAATAGAACAAATTCATACCATAAAATTAATAGAAATCATTATATCCTAGACAAGGAAGAGGGAAGTAAATACAACATTAAACAGATAAATATTTATTTTAATTTTACCCTATCCATAAAAAGATTACTGGGATGCATAATATAGAAAGTGATGAGAAAGAAATGTTATTGTTTGAATAAGAAGTACCCTTCCATATGAACATCAAGTAACTGTTCTTCTGGGAATGTTTCATACTTTTTGGGTTCTCATCACTTAAGTACTTGAGATTAATTGGTCCTCCATTTCACCCAAAATTCATTCAATATGCTTTGTTATCATTTACATTTTAAAATGCTTCTACACAGACACTTGGCATTTTCAAAGAAAATGTTTGTGCTATACCTTGTCATCATTTTATCAGAGTACATGAAACATTGCACCTTACTCATTTTTCAAAAATTTTGAAAATCAAAGATGTAGGTTCATCTGCTTTCTCTGAAGACATTTCCTACAAATCAACTTTATTACTGCTTTTGAAGTTGTTTCAGTCCATTCTTGTTGAGGTCTTTTTTATAATCCTCTAATAACTCTTCCACATTTTCACTGTTAACTTACAAGCCTATGATTTTACCTAAAACATAATATCACAGATAAGAAAAAGTCCTCCAGTGTCAAAGCCTCTGAAAAATCTCTGCCTGTAACACAATCTGGCCATAATTTCCTCCATGCTGATTTCATGGTCCTGTATATCCCCTTTTGACTTTGCTCTGTCAATAAGAATTATGCAATGGGAAATATTAAAATGATGTTCCTAGAAGTCTCTGAGCTTTAATTACATTCCAAACACCTTTGAAAATCATTTATTGCCAATCTGAGACTTTTTTTCAGTTAATTTGTTTATAATCCAAGATTCTGCTGTGCTTTTAAATACAAAAGCTCCACAATTCCCATCATTCTTTCCTCATGACAATCATAAGTGTGATAACAAATATGCATGCATGATTCATATTCTTCTATCATCACTTGAAGCTATGTAGGAGTGGTACAGTATTTCTTTATTTCCCGCCCCCGGGGGGGGGGTACTGCTTTGCTGTCTCTTTAGAGTGAGATTGAAACATCAGACTATCTTAATAGTTCTAACTTATACAAAAAATGCCATTAAAATAGATGCCAATTTACACATAAGTTTTTCCCTTCAGTTGACAAAAAACTCGATTGTCAAACAATTTAATTATTTTTAACATTTATCCATATTTCAATCCATACTGTTTTTATTTTTTAAATGCCCAAGGGAACATAATGCATATAAACCTTACTTACCTGCAAGCCTAACTGTGCAACTGAGTCCGGACTAAGTTTATAGCTCTTTATGTTCTCTCTATGCAGTCGTTCATATTGCAGGATATTTAACTGCAAGCTGTCAGTGATTTTCTTCAAATCATCTCGTGCTTTCCGAATGCTACACCTTATTGCTTCATCCAGAGTGAAATCTAAATTATATTTTCAAATATGTTTAACATACCTCTAATAATAATAATAATAATAATAAACAAATAAACACTTCATATTTCAGAATATCTTTACAATATTAAAATTATTGTTTAACACGTTGACTGCTGTGGAGGCCACCGGTGACACGACCAACAGTAAAAATATATAATTAGAGTAAATATCGATACAGATAAATTTTTAAATAATGATCATTGATACTACAATGTTTTGAAGAGTAATAGGTCACAAAAATTTAAATAATAAATCGCAAAAATGGTCTGAAACGCCTCAGGGGTGAGCGATGCCCCCACCAGGAAAAATGCATTAAACACGATTACATAACTCATCTTATCTTCTGTAGATAATATTGAAACATAGTATGCATCGAATAATAAAAAATTCATGTTGGCGCCATGGGCGAACCACGTAAAGTGCAAGCATCCATTTATGCACTTTAAGCGTTAAATATTGAGGATTATTCTTTAAATTCCTAAAAAATGCTATAGCTTGTTTGCTATAACTATTAAGGAGTAATACAAATGCTGGCAGGTAGATCCTTCACACATTAAATACCTTTAATTTGAAGGGATAGACTGTACATGTTATACAATGCAATCCATCCCTTTGAATTATATGGTAGATAAAATGCAAAACATCTACTTCCCAAAACAAAACTTACTAACCAATATCACACACAATGCTCGCTTAAGTTTTGTTTAATGCATTTATACCACCAAGTTTGGCAACTTTTAACTAAAACATTGAAGCACAACATAATACAAATATTAGTAAAGCCAATTGTTGCATTTAGGTAAGCTAGTTTGGTTGATTAAAGATCCAAGGCACAAAACTTAATAAGTCATTTACATTGAAGCAAAATAAATAAGTAAATAAAATAAAATAAAATTTAAATGATTAAATGCTTGCTGATTAAATCACAAAATTTACTGTCTAACTGACATTTTATAGATCTAATTAGAATAGAATGCATTATAATATAGGATGCATAATTTATTCGTTTATATGGATGCATTTCATTTTGTCAGCTACTGACTTGTTTCTTTTATGTGTTTTATGTGAAATTCCTCTTTTCTAAATTGTATACAAAACAGCATACAATTTGACTTTAAATCTGTATTTAATAGTAAACTGGAAAACAAACATAACCTATTTTCACTCATTTTATTTTAATCTTGCATTTACTGCACACTCTGCCTACTTGCCCTGCAAATATATCCTGTCATCACTTTTTATAGCAAAGTTGAAGAAAGCAGCTGCTTAACATGCCACCTAGCAGGTTTACCTCAATTGTTTCAGAATTATACTTATCAAATTTGGTTATTGTATATCCACCCATTCTTTTTTTTTAACCTTCTTCCCATCTGAATATCTTTTGGTTAACTGCCTGGAAGATAAAGAACAATAATTTGAAGAAACAATCACTACAGAATTATTATTCCAAAGATAAATACTGCTTCATCACATTGGTAATCAAATATACCTTCTCTTTTTTTAAAAGTAATGAGTTGTAAAAAAGTAAATGAGTTGAAACAGTAAAAAGAACATTTTTCATCATGTGTTTGTTTTACTTGTCCAGTGGTCAAGGAGTATTACTGTTAAGCTTTGCAGTGTTTAACCCTTTCAGGATGGGTGTTCCATATACGCATTCCATAAGAACGTCTCTCACAGCCGGGCGTCCCATCCACGCATTAGTAAAGATTGCATTCAGAGGACGGGTGATGCGTATACTCATTTTAAGGTGAAACGTTTTTTCTGAAGGCCACTAGATGGCATCCTGCGTCCATTACTTTTGAAATGAACACAGTTTTAGGTTCCTGACCTTGAGTTTGATATATTCTGCTTGATTTAGTATTTTACTCATCAGCTGTTCGGGGGGTGGGGGTGGAAGGTAAGCATAAACAGAGGTGGGCTCTTTAAATCACTGCGTGCTAATGAAAACATTCTCGTATCTGATTTATATCCAATTCCTTTGTTTATTCTATTTTTTTCCTCTACTATGTATGGTTTTTTAGGGTTACTATGCAGAGTTTTTTTACGTTTTGCATTGCCTTCAGATATATTTCTGTTCCTTCTTTTTTATTTAGGAAAGCCTCACCTCCAGTCTATTATGGCGGGAAGGCGCTATTTATCAGAAGAATATCCTAGTATGGTTAGTGAACCATTTACTAACGCAAATGAGAGTACTGATTCATTTTCTAAAGAGTTAAAAAGTGATACTTTTTCTAAGAGTTACAAAGTGATACTTCTCTGTGCTTTGAGATTTACCACACTCGTTTTCATTTTAAATTTTGTTACTTCTTACTGTAAATAGTCTTTATTGTGTTCTTTTTATTAATTTTAAACTTTATTGATGGATTTTATCAATTAAACTTTGGAATAATCTGAATAGCGCTTCTGAAAATTATTTTAGAAGATAAGCAATTTTTTTAGTATATTTTCATGTAAAATAAAGAAAAAAAAAATGTTTTAAGGGCTAATTTTAAGATATATAAGAGCTCAATAATCTAAAATGATACCAAAAATTACAATGGTAGAAGCGAAACTTTTGTTTTTCTGACTTTTGTTATAAAATTAGGCTAAGCGATGCAAAACCTCTGTCCTGTACGGTGACTGCCTTTGATTCTCTTCCATCCCGCACGAGCATCTTAAACAAAGGTGCGCCGTCGCGAAAAGGTTTAATGGCACCACTAGATAATTTTTGATTCAGTGTGTGTGTGTGGAGGGGGAGTTAAAAAAAGAAGGAACTATCACTTTCGAGTAGTGGGAAAATGTGAGAGTCATTTAAACATCTAACTTCTCTGCATTCAGTTTTATACTCAGAAAAATGAGAAAACAAATTGAATTCTTTGAATGAATACAATTTTGCACAATGAAAATGGATCATTGAACAATAAACTGGCAAATTTAATAAAAGGCAAATAAATTTTTTTTTCAAGCCATAGGAGAAGAAAGACATATTTTTTACATCAATGAATGTATAGTAAATATTGAGTTTTGCATTTCAAATGGTATGTTACATGTATGCAGAGTATCTGAATATTTGAGAAAATAGTCTTAACCCAAATGGCTTTCAACCTTTTCACGTGTAAGAACTGTTTTTTAATTATACTGCGGCTGTTGTTTTTTATGTAATTTTCTAATGCCATATTAAACATTAAATCGTTTTTAATTTATGAATAAAATAATGCAAACTAGACTGCAGAAAATTCTTCAGAATGAAGTTAATAATACTGAAAAATACATTATTGATGCACTTTTTGGTTTTATACCTAGAAGTTAATATGGAATCCTCAAATTATATATTATATACAAATGGAACAGAATATATATATCAAAATCAAAAATCAAAGAAAAACATTTAATACACAACGTTTAATAATGTAAAACATTTATGTAATAACAATATAAATGGTTAGTTAGGTTTTGATGTAATTAGAAGTTTTAAATTACATATACATGTAATATATACATATAATCTATAAAATTTAGTTCCTTGCAGTAAATTGAAGAGAGATGAGTGCTTAACTAGAGAAGACATTATTTTGCAGTCACAAGTGGATTGAGGATTAGAAGATCACTGAAAATACCATTTACGTAGCAGAAGATGCCAGAAGAAGCTTTTGAAGAATCACAAAATCACTTGATATTCCAAATATATCTTTATTACTTGTTGCACTTCACAGTGGGACCATTTTGCACCCCACAATTCTGATGATGGTGCATTACATTTTAAACAAAAGCAGCAAAACAAGAGATGACCTTTAGCAAGCATAGGCACAGAAAGAGGGAGGATAGTTGGGTTGCAACGGTATTATGGCAAAATTTTTCATTAATCTCATTAGCTAAAACTTACATGCAAAGCAGAAGTTTTAAGATGACATAATGCGGAAATAGTTTTCAGATATGACACAGTTTAGAGAGAGTTATTACTAAAGAGAAAGTACCCAAATTAAAAATAAGCAATTAAGAGGCATTTTAAATCACAATTTTGATTTTCATATTTTTTTATCTTACACATATATATATGTAACATTTTATAAGTATACATAAAATACATTACACATGCATAGTTTACATAAAATGCAAACACATTCATGCGGTAAAAAATAATAAATAAATAAAGAGGGAAAACTAAACAATACACATTGTAATACTGTATGCAAATATTATATTCATTTAATTAATTAATTTTTTAACTTTACACATAATTTTAAATTAGATTTCACTTACCTAACCTTCGAACTCTGTGAGAAGCATCAACATTTGCAGATACTGTTTTAGGTCCAACAAAATGATTTTTTAAAGAATCAGCATATATCTCATTGAAATATCGCAAAACTGCTACACCATCTCCCCAGGCATGCTCAAAGTTCAAAGCAGCTTTTCCATCTGCAGTGATGATTAGTGTAAAGCTCTTATCAAACCACCTAATAAAAAGTATTATTTTAATATATGATTCATACCAGAAAATTAATAACAAAATAAGCAAAGTCATTACAAAAATAATGGCTAAGAAATATAATGCAATGGCCTAAATAAAAGTGATTATTTCCTTCAAATACCCTCATGAAAATCATATCCATCTTTGCACGCAAAATTGAAAAAATACACTAACTAAGCAATTATTCTTTAACCCTTTGCAGCTCAGTGTGTCCAGTCTGGACAAACCTAAAAATTTCCTTCTGTAAGCACAGAAAAATTGAATGAAAAAGGGTTTATAGGTTACTCTGAATCTTCTTTATTTATAGTAGATGGCAGCTCAACACAAACCAGTCCATATATTTTAGCCACATTTAGTTTTTTAAGACCCTCATTTTTCAAAGATGATCTTCCAATTTTTTTTTAGGGTATATAAGGAATTGAATTGTTTGAAAAAAAATTTCTATGTTATTTTTTTGGCCGTATGCTAATCTCCTTTTTCCATATTAGTTTTAAATTTTTACCTTGAAATCCTGCCTAAAATCAAACGGCGAACCCTAGATTGTGCCCAGATCAGGCTCACCGATAATCTAGGACAACTGAGAGTCTGTATTCTTTGTTTCTCCGCATCTCATCGGTCAGCTCATTAACAACAATGCTCGTTTCAGCACTCTTTTTGAAGCTCTATTCAATCAGTGTGCCCAATTGGGCACACCCACAGAATTAAAACAATAAGTGCTATCTTCACAAAATTTTACTTGTGTACTCCTCTAGGCCTAATTAGACTGCCTACCTTTTTTTTTTTTTTTTTTAATCAAAACTCCAACTTTAAAAGGTAGCATGCGGGAAAGGGTTAAAGTTTAATATTCAAAGAAAATACATTTACCTCTATTTCTAATATAGCAACAAACTATGATACTTAAATCACTTAGTAGGGTTCATACACATATCTGCACAAAGAAATTAAGTATTTTTAAGGATCATTAATAAAAAAAATTAAGGGCCTATGAGCAAATGAGAACTGAATAAATTCAATTACAAATATTATATCTATGCCTGAATGTGAGTAGGATGCATTATTATTAAACATAACTTAATTAACAGAATTATTAATATGTTTGAGAATAAAATTAATTTTATGAAATTTATCAAGTAGCATTAAATAATATTTTACACTCATAATAACTGGACATATTTGAAAGAAGATAAGTGATATTTTAGTAATGTTTTACTAACAGTTAGCTTTTTTTAAAAATGTCTCATTTTGTCACATACTTCCTCAGTCTAGAGGTTTAGTATATAGTAAGTAGATTTTATGTCAAGCAGCATAGGTTAAAATGAGCATTAAAATCACAATCAGCATGATGTATAACAAAAGACTGGCTGTTGTCACCACTCCTGCTTGCCTATAGAGAGGCCTGCTGATCAGAACAAACCTGAAAGGCCTGATGTAGGCACAGTTAACAAGTTTTGAAAGTTAGCTGACCTCTGTCTGACGCTGTTAGTGTCGTAGCTTCATGTAGAGTCCAGAGGTTGTAACTCAGTTAATATAACGGGTGGCCAAATTTAAACTGACAGTGCTCACAGTGTTCTGTAGCGCGATCTATTTGCGAGAATGACGCCACATTGTGTAGGAAGATTAAACAGGGAACAAAGAATTTCACGAAGAAAAAAATTAGTTCCAAAAGTCACCACTAGGGGAATATTTGGTGCTGTGTAATAGAAAATAGAGTGTTAACAAATGCAAATCAATACGGAAATTACCTTTTATTTTGCATTCAAATGAGGTTCAATGTGGCTGCCGTTGTTGTGGACCACATATTGCATTCCGTGCACAGTATGCACAACAGCAGAAAGTAACAAGTCTGCAGGAATCTCCCGTACAGTCTGTGATATGTTATCCTTCAACGTAGCCAGGTCCTGGAACACTCCTTGATAGACCTTGGACTTAAGGTAACCCCATAGCCAGAAGTCGCATGGGGTAAGATCAGGCGACCAAGGTGGCCATGCAATTGGAAAGTAACGGCTAATAACTCTTTCTGTTGTGAATTTCTGCCGTAGCATCTGTTGCACCCGTACAGCAACGTGTGGAGGGGCTCCAACTTGCATGAAAATGATTTCCCCCAGGCATTGTCTTTGCTGAAGTGCCGGAATGACAAAGCTGTTCAACATGTGGCGATATTCTCTCCGGTAACAGAATTGGTTTCCGGTCCTGTCGGGATAATTCGATAAATTCCGCTGTGAACCCACACCAAACAGTTACCTTGGGTGAATGTAAGGGAATTGCTGTAACTGCATGTGGTGATTTGTCATCCCAAATTCGGCAGTTCTGGGTATTCACAGTTCCATTCAGGTAAAAGTGGGTTTCATCTCCCCATAAGATTTTCTACGGCTAAGCATCATCCACCTCCATTCTGGCAAGAAAGGTGAAAGCAAAAGCCAATCGCTTATCATGGTCGGGGTACAGTAACTCCTGTACACGGCTGATCTTGTACGGATAGAAGTTGATAATCTTTCGTAACATTTTCCATACCGTACTGTAAGGCATATTCATATTCCATAAGGCATATCCATAATTAAAGGTAATTTTATTCCGTATTAATTTGCATTTGTTAACACACTATTTTTTATTACACAGTGCCAAATATTCCCCTAGTGGTGACTTTTGGAACTAATTTTTTTTCGCGGAATCCTTTGTCCCCCGTCTTGTTTAATCTTCCTACAAAATGTGGCGTCATTCTCGCATATAGATCGCACTACAGAACACTGTGAGCACTGTCAGTTTAATTATGGCCACCCGGTACTTCAAGGTTCTATTAAGCCACTAAAGCATTAGCGGTTATAAAGTTGTTTTGCATTAAGTCTCACTAGATGCAAAGAATAAGTTTCACATGAATTTTTATATTACCTTGTGACCACGGTAAAGGTTTAACACACTGAGCCCTGCACCGAATTTGCTATCCTTTTTGTTCAGCCGGCGGCAATATTCCGATCATGCGGTGCAATATTGCCGACTTAAATTATTCATAAATTATACAAAAAGGAAGGAGATGCACATAAAGTCTGAAAGTATTGTTCAAAATGTTATGATGACAATTCAAAACTATTTGGATGCAAGATAGCCAAAAATTTTACCAAAATAGTTGTTTCATATTGTAATATGTGTAAAGCTAAGCCGTATTTTTGTTTAGAATGTTTCAATAAATTTCACTAAAACTACATTTGATCATAATTAAGACACAATAACACGCCGAATAAATACTAATTCAGAAGTCAAACAACAAAAATCAGCGTTAATTTACAAAATTATATTTACAAAATTAAAATTATATATTTAAATATTATGTTTATTATGTAATATTAATATATTTAAATATTAAATAATATTATATATTTAAATATTAATATTCATAATATTGTAAATATTTTTGTAAATTAACGCTGATTTTTGTTGTTTGACTTCTGAATTACATTTGATCATATTTCATTGAGACTATACTTATTTTTTAACTTTAATACTGTCGGTTCCGTGGTCCCCAGAGGAATGGGAAAAATTCTTACCATGAGAAAATTAAAAAGACATTTTTATTTAATTACACGGCTATTTAGCTTTTTGTAAAAACTGTTTTGTAAACTGTGCTTTATAGCATTATTCCTTGCTTATTTTTCAGATTCAAAAAATTGTACAATATGTGGCCAAAATGGAACTATGACAGTGAAAAACCCAAATGCTTTATTTTAATGTTATTTCTTAAATATAATTTCCAATAGATTACCATTATTTTAATGAAATTTATCAATGTTAGAATGTTCTAAAAAAATTGTCAAAAAATTCCCAGATCTCGGAACTAAAATTTTTCTATAGAAATCGATCTTAAAATCGCCCAAATGTTGATAATCGCCAAATTTAGAACCGTTTAATAAATGAATTTACATTCCCAAAAGCGGAAAGTTGTTTGAGAGCTCTTCATTACAAAAAATTAAATATTTTTGAAATACTTATGTTTCACTTCTTGCTCAGAAACTCGAGTATCCCACCATTATTTATATTACAAATAGGAATAAATTATAACTCATGAACCCATTGAAAAAATAGCCATATTTGTCAGTGAATCACCAAAAATATTCCTACAAAATGGTAATTCACACTCAAAATGGCAGTCGTAAAAACAGACAAATTTCAGATGATTAAAATTAAGGAACTTCTGCCGATTTTGGCCAAAATTAAGGACTTTTAAGGACCAAAAATCGATTCCAAAAAACTTAAGGACTCTTAAGGACCGTACGAACCCTGCTTAGGTTTTCTGAATGCCTTCATTACATCGAGTTCAAATGCGTGGTCATTTTATATGCATGCTCATTTAATATTTTTACTAGCAATGTATGTATTCTCTACATGGGGAAAAGAAAATTCATTCTAGAAAATACAGAAAAGCATGGGAAAAGTTCACAGTAATGAAAGGTAAATAAACGATAAAGTTGTTATATCTGACTTGGAATTCTTGGTGTACTAGGTTGCTGATACACAATGCACTTCATCTGAAGCAGTGGGTTTTCTGTCTTATGACCTGTGACATTAATATTTCTATAAATAACATAAGCATCACTCAATAGGTAAAAAAATCAATAGTGAAAATAAAAATCAATAACAGATTCTGTGAAAAATCAAAGTTCTAAAGAAGAAGAAATTAGCAAGAAATGTTTCTATGGCTTGAATTCCCACCTATACTTTAGGTATATAACTTGGAAAATTGCACCTTTATTTTACAATAATAAAAATAAATGATATCATGCAATTTCAAGTACCATCACTCACCCTTCACCTATAACATAACTTAAAATTGTTATCTGATAGACTTAAAAAGTCTATTTATCATTAATGAAAAAAATGTGACTTATTTCACTTGTCAGTAATATCAGATGAAGTTGATGAATTTTATTGTTGCTAAGAGCACATAAGATTGCATCTGTCACTGGCATGGACTTTTGGGCATCTTATAGGTGGCGAGAAAATAATAAAAGTGTATTTTCAAGGGAGAACATTCCCAGATGCACATACTTTTCCCAGCCCAGAAAATCCAGTTACAAAATTTCATAACACTATACCACTTTGGCACTTAAAACTGCTAGCTGTCAATGAAAGATTTCACATATCTGAAAGTTCTGTTTATGCAAGATAGCCAAAAATGTTACCAAAATAGTTGTTTCGTATTGTAATATGTGTAAAGCTAAGCCGTATTTTTGTTTAGAATGTTTGAATAAATTCCATTAAAACTACATTTGATCACATTTCATTGAGACTATACTTATTTTTTAACTTTAATACTATCGGCCACATGGACCGATGCCAGCCAAACGAAAATTCCAGTGCCAGTACCCAGGGTCCGACGCCGGGCTCAGCATGTTAACGAAAGGCAAAAACTTGCTTTAATATAGAGAGATAATTTTTAAGAGAAAACATTTAGTTCTAATTAAATTAGGTATTAGATAACCTTAGTCATTATGGATTTACATAGCCACTATTAAATTAAATTTATTTTTTAATAATATTTGTTAAAAAACCCTATTAATATCACAATCTCATAAAATTTCACAGTTTAAAATACATGCAATTTATGACATTGATTTTTAAACAGTATTAGGATAATTACACATTAAAAGCTACAAAACATAAAAAAACTCAATAAAATAATTATGCGTCTTTTTAATTTGAAGGCCTGCCCACACATTTTGACTAATTTATATCGATTTCCTTCTCCTTAAGCATGTTTTCTAACAATTACAAATTTGTCTCAATATGCAAAACAATGTTCTCATTAGTTTCTGCCTGTTTTATCTCCTAACTGCCAACCTCTCCAGTGAGGGTTTACTTGATCTGGTAAAAGTTAAACAGTCCGACCCCCCCCCCCGACAGACGTGAAACAAATTATCACTATATCTGAAAGTAATTAAAAATCAGATAATAAATTTCAATAAAGGTTTAAATAAGCTTCTTATTCAAAAAGAACTTGGAACATATAGGCCTGTTCCTATGCTAACAAAATCAATTACAGTTTGTGGTGATATAATTAAACAAATCAAATTCAAACTAAAAATATGGACTAGTGGTTAAAGACTATACAATTTAATTTCAATTTAATCTGGTTCAGTAACATTATTTTCATAATAAACTCAAATGTCAGCAGCAGTAATGGAAAGACTAATAATTACAAATTATCAGAGCTGGACAGGAACTAATGCAGGGAGCAAGTGAAGGTCAGAAACACAATCTTCGTCTTACACTACATAACCTCAGTTTAAAAACTGTCTGAGTTTGCATTCTGGTGAGGAAATAGAAATGGTAAATTATAAGTAAAGGCTGAAATTGTAAATAACTGTACATATCTTTGAAGAATAATTTTCTTTCTCTTTACATATTTAGTTTCTTTTTTCAACACGTTTCCTTTTCACTTTAAATTTTTGGGATTTAATTAAAGACTTCTGTTATTCTAAAAGACTAAATGAATTTAGAATGTATGGAAAAAGCTGCTAATTTTATTTCTTTAGTAATATGAACATTCAGAAGAAACATGAAATACATATGGTAAAGTCTGGTCACAGAGTTGATGTGGCATAATTTTTAGAACTTGGAGACTTACTGAGCAACAAAATCTAGAAATAGCAAAACTTTTAGAATTTAGAGCAGGCACTGGAAGCAGAATTTAGAAAGGTACCAAGCACCAGAATTTACGATCCACAGAGACTGCGTCAGGTGGCAAAATGCCTAGTGCCAGCTGTGTGTATGATGCATTAAGACATATTAGATGAATCTTTCGAATTGTCAGTTTTCAATTTCTTTATTAATAAAAAATTTCCTTTCTATAATGTCTGTCCATATGATAAGATTAGAAGCACTTTTGATATTTTCCATGCTTGTGTCTAGTGAAAAGTAGAGAAAATAAAGGGAAAATAAAAAATGTTAATAAAGCGGTTCTAGAATCAGAAGTAAAACATTCAACTATTATGTTTTCATTGTTCTTCTAGACGTGTTCCAAAATGTAAGAAACAGCGTGTTACTACCATGGAGACATTTTTCTGGAATCTTTTAGAATCGTGAGTCTATAAATTTGCCTTAAAATCTTTCTAAACTTTCCAAGTTTCAATGTCTAAAATCCTAAAGAAAATTACTCCTACCAATTCTGTAACAGCAAAAACCCAGAAATGTTTTTAAAAAAAAAATCGGAGGAAAAAAGTGTGAAATTAATTTTATAGAGAAAACTGATGCATTTCTGAGAATTCTGACCATTTTGAGAAATGGGAAAAATTCTTATCATGAAAAAATTAAAAAGACATTTTTAATTAATTACACAGCTATTTTGCTCTTGCTAAAATCTGTTTTGTAAACTGTGCTTTATAGCATTATTACTTGCTTATTTTTCAGATTAAAAAACTTGTATAAAATGTGGCCAAAATGGAACTTTATAATATGACGGTGAAAAATAAAAATGCTTTATTTTAATGTTATTTCTTAAATATAATCCCAATATATTACCATTATTTTAATGAAATTTATCAATGTTACGAAAGCTTCTAAAAAAAATGTCAAAAAATACTCCTGCAGATCTCGGAAATTAAAAAGTTTCCTATAGAAACCGATCTTAAAATATCCAAAATGTTGAAAAGTTGCCAAATTTAGAACCTTTTAATAAAAGAATTCACATCCCGAAACGCGGAAAGTTGTTTGAGAGCTTTTCATTACAAAAAATGAAATAATTTTGAAATGCTTATGTTTCACTTCTTGCTCAGAAACTCGAGTATCCCACCATTATTTATATTACAAATAGGGACAAATTAGAACTCATGAACCCATTCAAAAAATAGCCATATTTGTCAGTGAATCGCAAAAAATATTCCTGCAAAATGCTAATTCACACTCAAAATGGCAGTCGTAAAAACAGACAGAAATTTCAGATGATTAAAATTAAGGACATTCTGCCGATTTTGGCCAAAATTAAGGACTTTTAAGGACCAAAAATCGATTCTAAAAAATTTAAGGACTTTTAAGGACTATTAAGGATCATACGAACCTTGCTGATGGTATAGGAAGAGGAGTGGGAAACTCTTGAGCCCGTCTCCCCAGGGTGCTCTTCTTTAAAATGGAGGTGCAACTGAGCAAAGTCGCACTGTCATTTGTATGGTAACCAAGGCTCTTGGCAATGAGAAGCATAATTTAAAAGTGGAATTTATATTCAACTCTTTAAATTATAATGATGTCTTGGATTTTACCATACCATTACATCATAATGAAAATGGATAGATTGACGCAGTTATTGGTACCAATTAATTTAATATCAATATTTTGTTTTCAATATTTTATGGTCTTTTATTTTTTTATTTTATATTTATTTATTTATTTATTTTTTGAGTTTGCTGCATCAACAAAAATTTCATTTAACTATTTAAAAGTTTTCTACACATTTCACAAATCTTTACTGAATTTTCAGGAGATAATTTAGTTTTTATAATAACAAAAAGTAAATTAAACCTTCACCTATTATAAGCAGGTCCATGAAGCATATGATGAGCAGATTTGACCAAATCATTTCCTAAAGATTGATCATCTAAGGCAAGAACAAATATTGCACTGTCAATAAGCTTCAGCTGTTCAGCATTTCCTAATTTTTCAAGGTATTCTCGTGCCTCTGCCCAGGTATCACGATTTTCAGTTGTCAAGAAAGATATTGGATGTGACGGTGGAGGTCGTACATCAGATAAAATGTAATTTATATGATTATATATATGAGATGGAGGTAAAATATTTCCTGTAAAAGATTAAGTAAATTTAAATTTAACATGACTAACAAAACAAATTTTCAAGAAAAATAAAGCTAAAAATGATATTAGTGTTATCGAAATCAAACTGAAGGATAATTATTTTCATGGCGAAGAAAGATCATGTTTTAAAGATACAATGGTAAAATAAATATCCAAATCACAATGACAACAAATCAAAAACATCTAGTATATTTTCACTTAAATTCTAAATTACTATGCACTGACTTATTTTAACATCCAGAATTTTAAAACATACACACAAATACAGGATCTGTTCCCAATTTACTATATTTTGCTGTATAGTTCAACTTCTAATTCTTCCTTGATGTTAGTATACTAAGATCTAATTTTTTAGCTAAAAGTACTTAATTTATCAGTAATTATCATTTTTTATCTCTTAAATCAAACCATGGAAGGTTTAAAGCACACTAATACTTATGATCCACTATAAGAACTCATTAGTAGATCAAACTCAAAAAATAAAAATGTGAAAAGGAAAAATATACAAAAATATAAAAATATTAAAAATTAATCTCCTTCTACTGAAACTCCAATTCAGAACTCATCAGGAGAAATTGAATTAAAGTTTCATAAAAGTCATTTAATATATTTCGAAAATGTTTCATTCTCCTGGTTCATTTGAGATAAAAAAAAAAAAAAAAAAAAAAAAGATTCAATTAAATTTTCATATAAGACATAAAAATTCATATAAAACTGAGAAACCAAATCTTAAAGGTAACCAGAATTTTAACTTTAGATGCTTCTAAATTTATATATGTGCATATATATATATATATGGGTGTATTCACACACATATGAACGTACGACACATATATATATGCATGCATGAAACACATACATAAATGCATTTCTGAATCCAGTCCTGATAATAGAAGTGTACCCACTGGCCTTCGAATAATCTGGACTTCTTCTGAACATTATAAAAGTACTAGTCTACATATAAGTATGCATATTACTTTCAAATTATTCAATGTTTTATCAATGATGTATGATAATAGTTAAGAGAGAAAAATAAAATCCTAAACATTGAGGAATAGTAACGGCCTGCAGAACTGACAATTTAATAAATCCCATTATTGATTAATTAACAAGTCAACAGATATCAATGGAATAATCTATTCCATACTGTGATCTGCATTAGCTAGCTAAAACTTCGTGCATAACGGCAACAACTCTTATACTGTGGTGAAAAAATGAAATTATTATAATATTATTTTTTATTTTATTTATTTATTTATTTTTTTTTAATTTTCCCAAAGGCCACAGAAGATGATACTATGGATGCAGAATATCAACTGGCTATCTTTAATATCAGTCATCCAAATGCAGTCTGCATCTACAAAATGAGTATGCATTATCCCACACACTAATATTTTGAATTTAATGAAATATAAGATTCTTACCATCACCATCTAAGGCATCAAAAACATAAAAGTAGCCATTCCTAAGAACAACAACATGACGAGCTTCGGGAAAGACTTGAATTTCATCTTTATCCAGACGAGGAATTCGTGTTGAATTGAATAAGTTATTAAACTGACTCATGTCCAAGGGAAATGCTTTAAATAGATATGCTCCATACCATGCAAAGGGTTTTGGAACTAGTCTGCAAATATGGATTTAAAAAATTAATATTCATTAAAAATATAAATAACATCATTAAAATTTAATTTTACAAAATTTACAACTTGAAGTTTTAAGAACTGATAAACAAGTTCAAACATTATATGAAATACCAAGCAGATTCTGATAAATACCAAGAGCTTATGATTCAAATATTGACTAAATTTCATAAAATATTTTTTTCAATTTCAAAAATAATAAATCAATAATTACTTTATAATAAGTAGGCATTGCCTCTAAAAATACATAAAGTTGAATTTCACGTAACAAACACTGCATTTTAGCAGATATTCCTCATTATTATATACTTACTGAATAATTAATAACTTTAATTAGGAGACATTGCAATTTCCTTTACTGGCCTGTCTAAAATAATGAATAAAAGATTTTATCCTGTGATTGTTTGTTAATGGGAGGTTACTCAGTATACTGAATTAGAAATACCATGAAAAATTAAAAAGTAACGCAAGTCTTTCCGGCAAGAAAAATTTAATGAAAAAAAATTCTTGAGAGTTTTTTTTCTTTTGCTCAATAAATGGGCCAGGTATCTATGGTATATTAAAGCAAAGCATATCCCCAAAATAACTTGTTTCTGATGACAAAACCTATTGTCTTTTTAAATTATTCATAAATTCATTTTAATGCTACAATTAGAGACATGCATTAAATTGAGGTTCAGTTATCTAGTTATAAAAGGCATAAAAAGTAAACTTTTGGAAAAATATTTCTATTCTCCAGAAAGTCTCATTGAAAGCAACATTCTGATGTGCCTCACTTGGATATAACTTACATATTTCAGAAAATTCATATTTAAAGATTTTACATAATCTGGATTTCAAGACAATAACAGAAATGGTAAAAACAGTTGGAAAATCATTTAAAAGATCTCTTAATCCATTATTAAATATTATTATTAAGCTGCCCAGCTGGTATAGTGGTTAGTAACCCTGACTGCTGTAGCGATGAACCTGGGTTCGAATCCCGGAGAAGGCATGGTTGTAATTGTCTGTCCCTTCACCAGCAGTAAATACAGTCTGCAAAGTTGTCAACACACTCACGGGCCAAGATTTTTGCTCTCCCCATTAACCCAAATTCGCAAGGCATGACACACTGACTAAGTCAGCATGTAGTTCCACATCAGCAGATACATAAGTCTACCCATAAAATTTACTTAAAACTCTGTTACAAACACTTATCAAATAATGTGCAGTCAAATGTTTCCAGAATATATTTAATGTTCCCTCTTCTGTATGTGCATAATACTTAATGTTTTTTACCTATGAGAATTTATTTTAATTCTATTATTTTGTAAATGTATTTTTAGTCTAAAAGGGCTTTGCCCTGAAGGACTATTGTTTTCGTTTTGTGATTTTGCATTGAAAACTTTAAAAGGCTGTATCACTTTTTCAAATAGTTGCCACCAAATACTATCACCCTGTATTATATTTGAAGAAATTAAATAATGAAGAATCTGCATAAATGTATTTATGTTTCTTGCATTGTGATAAAACAACGGTACCTAGAGCCATCCAATTTCGAATGATGTAATCCTACTGCAAATATGGGCATCTGAAAGCCCAAATTTGAAATTTGAAATTTGTTTTATTATCAATTTCATATTTTGTAAAACTTTAACGAATTCTTTAGTAACAAACTCAAGGATTTCAAAGGGAGCAAATGGCAAAACTCTACAGCAGCGAAAAAAATCTTTTTATCTCTTAGCGGGCGCGGAACTGTGTATCGGAAATTCTAAAGATATGCTCATTTTAAAATTATTTTGAGACACTGCTGTTGAATTGAATTGTATGGTTTAAGTGCAAAGAACATGATAGTTAATAAATAAAGGTAACACACAAAATGTTAAAAAAAAAGCCCCTTTGGACATAATTTAAAATCTGAAACCTTTCAGATATTTTTTAAATTTTAATTTATTTAGTTTCTATTTTTGTATTTGTATTTTTATTTGAATTTTATTATGAATATGGATAATTACCATAGCAAATAGCAACAACAAATGCCAACACAATAAAACATATGCAATCCGCTCTTATCTGGCCATGTAAATGCTCTTGTTAACATCCTAACAAACTTCTGAGGCAACCTCTTGAGGCCACATGGAGTTATTTCTGGGCACGCGATACATACCTGTTTACCTCTGTTACACATCAGGCGTCCCTGTCCTTATAATTTTAAAATGTTAACTTATAATTTTAAATTACGTTTTTAAATTTTTAAGTATATTCACCATATAATGGAATTCCGTTTCTAACAAAGAAACCTGACAGTTATATGCGTGATGTTCTATCTTTTGAAGTCCTTCATTCAAAGATTTTTCAGGCTTTCAAACAATGGTACACTGCTTTGATAAGCAATAAGGGAACAATTTGTGTGTAGAGAAAATGCTTGATAAAGTAAATAATTCTGCATAGATGGTGAAATGTATTTAATTCAGGTGTGCCCTAGAATGTTATTTTAGGGTTTCGAGAAAAAGGGGTTTTCATAATACAAAAAATTCTCATATTTAAATAATTTTGTAGTAAATTTGGAATACTTTGTCAATTATTATTAAACACCTTTAACAAGAACCTCACCAGTGAATTTATGCTACAGTATAGAAACTGAAAAGCACTACACAAAACAATAATGCCTTTAACTCCTGCACTACAAACTATAGAAACACAAGTGCAGGAAATATTATAACAACTAATCTATCAACCCCTTTTTCACAACTAGACTCGGACAGAAAAATAATTGCACTTTATTCAAACTGCCTAGACATTATAAAACAGTATTATTATATGGTATTATAATTATTATTATATAGTACAGTAATTATTACACTGCTGGCCACCGTAAATGCAACACCCTGAAGGAAGCATGCAAATAACATGAAATTTACAACATACAATAGCAGAGGCGAGATATGCAAATGATTAGAATTTCAGCACAGACACATATCACGCGTGCCTATGGTGCCATTTCAAAGTGCTATTTAAGGCTTAGAGTTTTCGACGATTTCAAGTTTGGCAATTGTATTTTTCTTGTGGTTTTTCCAAGAATAAAGATCAATTACGCCTTGTAGTAAACAGCAATGATCTTTGATCAAGTATCCGAGTTCAACAGAAGAAGGATAGTAGTCTACCGAGAGTATGGATTATCTTTCAGGGAAATCGGTATTCATGTTGGACGAAACCAAACAACTGTAATGCGGATATGTGACCATTGGATGCAGGAGGGTACAATGGACCGACGTGTTCGATTGCATCCACCTCAGTGCACCACTTCATGTGATGACAGGAACACTGTGCGCATGGCAGTGACGGATGGCTCAGTCACATGACGAACCATAGCACAGCACATTCAGTCTGTAACGCATCATCCAATGTCTGCGTGTACCATTCGACACCGTTTACAGCACAATGGTCTGTCCGCAAGACGTCCATTGCTTCGTCTACCCTTGATGCAGAACCAGAGATGTCTCCGCCGCCACTGGTGCAGTGAAAGATGGATGTGGATGGTAGAATGGAATTAAATTGTCTTTACGAGTCACGCTTCTGTCTACAACACCACGATGGTCGGATTCGTGTCTGGAGACACCATGGAGAGAGGATGCTGAACAGCTGTGTTATGCATCGCCACACTGGTCCTGCACCAGGTATTATGGTATGAGGCGGTATTGGATATCACTCTCGCACTCCTCTAGTACACATTGCCAGTACTTTAAACAGCCAGCGCTACATATCCGAGGTGTTCGAGCCAGTTGTCCTTCCTTACCTTCAGGGCTTGCCCACAGCCATATTTCAACAGGATAATGTGCGACCACGCGTAGCACGCATCGTCCAAGGGTTCTTTGTCAATCGCCAGATTGAATTGCTTTCTGGCCGGCTCGCTCTCCAGATCTTTCGCTGATAGAAAACATGTGGTCCATGGTTGCTGAACGATTGACACAGATTACATCTCAAGCTGCCTCACCAGATCAACTTTGGCAACGTGTGGAAGCTGCTTGGTCTGCTGTACCCCAAGAACACAGCTAAGTCTCTTTGAATCAATGCCGAGGCATGTGGCAGCAGTGATCTCCTACAATGGGCAGCTACTCTAGCTACTGATTCTGGAAGGAACCACACTTCACAGAAGTCTATAAATTTAATGATTTGATACTTGGTCAACATGTTATCTACTAAATTTTGTTACGATATCTCTTGTCTTTCTTGGTGTTGTAATTTGGGTGCCAGCAGTGTATATAGTATCAGACAAATGTATCATACCTCATAGTCTTTCTGAAAAAAGCTGTGTCACTTTTCTCAGGATTTAAGTGAAAAATTTCTGGCTCTAATATTTCTGCTCTTAGAGATTTCATAAACCTTAAAGATGATAAAATCATATTTGTTGCTCGAATTAGCTAAAACAAAATAATTTTATTCAGTCACTGCCACTAAATATGAAACGATTTCACTAAGACTATTTTACTCATGCATACAAATTCAACATATAATATATGACAACTGAGAAGAGATCATTGAAGAATTCATAAAAAAAATATTAAAGAAAAAGAATTTATTAACAGCAAGAGAATGCCATAATATAGCTTAAAATTTGAATTGATAAAATTATTATGATTTCACATAAAGAAAACATACTAAATTTCTTTTCCTAGTACAAAACCTTTATTTCTTTCCTATAAAACAAGATATATGAAAATGTTAATATTGCATTTTTATTGCTATTATAACTATACTCATGCTTGTTATGTGTTTAGTATAACATATTTCTTTGTTCATAAGATACATCTTTTTTACTACACAGATGCCTTCAAAATGAGGGTTCATCTCATAGGCAATACAATCTTTTACATTCAAAAGATCTTCATCCCATTTATTATGCCCACCAGCATTCGAGCAGTAAAGTCGCTAAATACTGGTAGTTCAAATCCAATTTAACAGGCCAGCTGTATGGGCATTTTCATGGTTTTCCAAATGTGTAACGTGTATATGAGCCAGTTCCTCTTAGAAAATCCTCTACAAAGGCATTCCCCCTTAGGCAGATAGCCCTCATGTGTTTTGCTATAATTAAATACACCTGCTATTTATTGAACACATTTATTTTTCTTACAATGCTTTGTTAATGCCACCTCAAACTTTGATCATTGAAAAATAGTGATGTAAGTTATTAGTTTTTCATGCTTTCAAAACGAGAGGTCACTATTATTTTATTATAGTAGGTCATTCACAGGGATACATAAAGTTTTACCTGTATTTTCAAAAGTTGGTATATTTTTAATTTGTACTTGTTTTTTTTTTTTTTTTTTTTTTGAATATCATAATATTATCAAATAGATTGTACTACAAAGCCACACTGAAACAAAAAACTATTGTGCATGCAGAAGGATATAGAAACAAAGCTATAGATCAAACTTTTCTCATTAGTGAAAGAAATGATCAAAATTCTATACTTTCATCCAAAAGCAAAAATTAATGTATTTCTTTGATTATAATACATATTTTCAGGGGTCTTTTTAAGGTGCTGTGTCTTATAAATGAAAAAATATAGTATTTTGCAGGAGAAAGCTTACATGCTACTGATGTTTCTTTTCTTTTTTAAAACTGTTGCTTATATAGAAATAACAAATTACATATTCGTAGAAATAACAAATTACATACTTGTAGAAATAACAAATTTCATACTAAATGCATGCAAAATGCATACACTAGAAATACTGAGGGTTTGCTTTTTTTCTAACAAAGATCAAAATTGAAATAACAAAATGCATACATTTTAAAAAATACTGTGTGTTTGCTTTTTATCTTACCAAGACTGAAATAAAGATTTTTATATTTTGGTTTTATTAAATATAATTATATCTGTGAAATTATATTTGCTTTAAGCTATTAACTTAGCAAATGCAAAACATCCTTGATCAAATTTTTATCAAAACAGTTTCTTAAGTAGTACAACTATGATTCTTAATGCTTACTGACTGATTTCCTTAGACCATTTACAATTCATTTAAACAATTTCTCATTTTATAGAACAATAACTTTATCTGGAGCAAATATTCACAATTATTTTTGTGAATAGTAAATTTTTCTTAAAACCCAAATGGGCAGAAGCCAGTTTTTTTCCCATTATTGTTTTGTAACTTTTCTGTTATATTTGATGTTTAAATAAATTTAATGCCATTATATTAGAATTTGTATGAAAAATATATCAAATTAATCCTATTCCGAAATTCAAAAACAGAATTTTAAATCTTTAAAAAAGCACTGAATCACATTCTACAATTCTAGTTCACATACATTTACACAGAGACATGCATTTTTTATAAGTTCCACCCCAACCCAACCCCACTCTTCAACGATCAAGGTTTATTATTAATTTTAGTAGCAGTTTTGGAAATAATAATACACAGAAAAGAATTTTCAGATAATGTTCATTAATTCTGAAAATGAGTTATGTGAAAAGATTGCCTAAGAAAGATGAAAACTTCACAGCATGAAAGAACTTAATGTGTGGGGGGGGATATGTACTTTTCTGTTCTGCATACAGGTAATTGATATTCATAGATGAATAAACGTGTATGAGCTTCATAATATATTAAAACATTTCCCACATAATTGAAATCCCGATCTTATTTAATGACACTGATGACATTGTCACTGATACTGATTGTCAGAATTTGGATGGTTTATAAATACAATGATCAACTTTTATCAATGTAATTTATTTACAAAGTATATGTAAATACATTACATATACTTTGTACATGTGTCTGTGCATATGCATCTACAGTGTGGTTCAAAAGATCTCAGATAAGTTTTAAAGGTAAGTCAGGAATACAAAAACAAATATTTACATAAGAATGTGCAGCCACAAATGCAACTTGTTTGTGTTAAGCCCCATCTACATAAGGAGACACATCTCCAAACAAGTATCTCTGCACATCCTCGGCACATGCACCAGTCAGTCTATACAGAGAAATATATCTCTGATGCATCAGGTATATGTCCTATGTTCCTGTACCAGCAAGTGTGAACACCATGCATGACATTGTTGCCGGAGACATATTTGGTGAAATCCAATGAAATGACACAAGTCCTAAAAGCAATGGCAGCTACTCTCAGCATCTACTTTACTGAATAACATATGGCACAAATCACTTGGAGACTTTTTACTATTTTAACAAACTTAACTTATGATACACTATTTCTTTCTGAACTGATTACTTTTATTATAAATAATTTTTTTTTCAACTTCATACAAGTGATTTGCTATTGTAAGCTACAGACTGGTGCATTTTTTAACCTTATTTATTAGCATTAACTAAATCTGCAAGAATATTTTTTCTGGTTTAAGGGAATTACTATGTTCTTATGTTCTGAGAAGTCTGAACGAGAAAAGCTTAATTCATTGTCAATTTAAATTCGATTATATTTACAGTTTTTTACTGTTAATCAATTTTCAGCATTTGGTTTAGGTCTAACTAGCTTAACCACTTGATGCATTTATCAAAGTGTCTAAACTTTTGGTGAACCAGCAGACTGAGAGTTTGAATCCATTTGAGTTATTTTCTGATTTGTTCTACTGAAAAATAAGTGTTTTATTGTTTCTGTAATTAACAGAGTTCAATTTTTATAAAAAAATTAAATTTTCAGGTGTAACATATAATAATTTTACATTATTTTATTATTATGCATTTTATATCAATTAATTACTAACATAATAATTTTATATTAATTACAAAAAATTTTTAGATTTTTATATTATTTATAAAGTGATAAAAAATTTTTCCTCCTTCATGTACTTAAAATTGATGCTTTATTATGAATCTAATTATTAGCAATTATTATTTCGTATTTTGCATTTCTTGCAATTTTACTGGCATTTGTAATCATTACTACTTTCTGTCTGTTATTATGCCTTCTGTTTATTATTACTATTATTATTGCTACAACTAATTTAAAAAATTTAAGTCCTGAAAAATAAAGGCATTTTTAAACTTTTCAAATTATTATATTTGTTGTGAGACTGGTGGAAGTCTCTTACGGGATACAAATCACATCATCTTGTTGGTATGCATATAGTGATGGACTGTCGCCAATAGCGCGATAAACTGTATGAACCGGAAACCCTGCAAAAGAGTTAACTGTGTAACTCTCTTATTCTTTACACTTTACTTTTTTCACTCCTTCAGGATAGGACAATGATATGATACTCTCTATAATATAACTCCTTTTTCAATATGTATTTGGAATACTAACGAATTTTTTTATCTATTTTTTTTATGTATTAATAAAGAATGTGTTTTGTGATTTTACAATTTCCGTCTACACCTATTTTGGATTACAAGTTAATTAGGTATGATCTCGCTTGATGCTGTACTGGATACAAACAAGGTAAGAAGAATAATTTTGCTCTCTATTTTTATTAATTTGTTGTGAAATTTTGAGGCTATAAAATGTTTTACAACAAAAGATTATGAGACTGATGAAAAGATCAATAGCTAATTAAATAATAATAAAGAAAAAAAATACTGTAAAAGCTAATCTGTAGTTTCATATTAAAACCGAAAATTAATTTTTTCGACGATACAAAAATGTTGAATTCAAGTCAAATGCAAATTGCAAAACTGAATTCCAGCAATTACTCAACATGGAAATTCAAAATGCAAATGCTACTAATAAAGGAGGATCTTTACGATGTAATCGAAAATGTACCTCCTAGCCCCATTGCAGAACAAAGGAGTAAACAGGATTGGCAATGTTGTGCGATGATAAATTTATTTATCGAAGACAGCCAAATAATTCACATTAAACATGAAACTACTGCTAAAGCCACCTGGGAAAAACTCAGGCAGGTACATGAAAGGTCTAATCTTTCAAGTAAACTATTTCTTTTGCGAAAGCTTTACAGTTTGAAGCTTGAAGAAGACAGAAATATGCAAACACATATAAATACATTACTGGAGTTAGTCGATAAACTCAAATCAATAGGTGAGAACATAAAAGACGAACACGTTTCGGCACTTTTGCTTTGTTCAATGCCTAGTTCTTACGATACGCTCATTACGGCTCTTGAAGCCAGAGCAGAATCGGAACTGAATCCAGAATTCTTAAAAGGGAAATTAATTGACGAATTTAACAAGAGAGTTGAAAATAACTCATCAGATTCAAAGGCATTTAAAGTCTCATTTCAAAACAAGACAAAGAGAGAAAAGTTTTGCTCATATTGTCATAAAAATAACCATTTTAGATCAGAGTGTTATCATCTAAAATCGAAACAAAGAAATGAACAGTGCCAAAACTCAAAGAAAACATACGTGGATTCTAAAACACACCAAGCAAAGAATGTCGGTAACCTCGCGATGAATCAACAACAAACAAAAATTAAAACACCGGAAATGGAATCCAGATGTGACAGCATCGCTCTGTCTATTAACTTCACCGTACATCAATCATCCGAGAGTTTTATTTTTGACAGCGAAGCAAGTAATCACCTGGTAAATAATAAGAAATATTCACGGAATGTAAACCCATAAATCCGTCAAATATTATAACTGCGAATGGGCAATGTATTAAATCAACGGAGATAGGAACTGTCTGTTTTAAAACATTAAATGCTAAACAAAAAATAACTGAAGTTCTACTATCGGAAGTTTTATACGCTCCTGAATTAGAAACGAATTTAATCTCAATTACGAAAATAACGGAAAAAGGACTTTCGGTTCTGTTTGAAGGAAATAAATGTATGATCATGAAAGGAGATCAGATTATTCTAGAATGTCATGCAACTAACAATCTTTACCAAATTAAACCAATAGACAGGAATAATGAACCATCAGCTCATGTAGCATTTCAGTGCAAAAATGAGAACTGTGTTCAACTTTGGCATAGACGCCTTGGTCACAGAAACGATGACGCAATCAAGCAAACTTGTAAACAAAGAACTCACTGAAGGAATTAAACTAGATATTTGTAAACATGATACCAAATGCATTCAGTGCCATAAAATGTAAATAACTGATTTTCCGTATCCCAAAGAATCGAAATTCAGAGCATCTAAACCGCTAGAACTCGTTCACACTGATATTTTAGGACCAGTACAAACACCGTCTGTCAGTGGATACCTATACTTCGTAACTTTTATTGATGATAGGTACAAAGGTTACCACCTACCCAGCACATTAAAAATCATAATTCAACATGTTGTTTATAAATGCAAAATAGGATGCATACTTCACGCAATTTTACTTTAATGTCATACAACTGTGATAATGTGTAAACTCCACAACTAATATAGATATAATTTTCATCTAAAAAATTAGTGAAAAATTTATTTTTTTCTGAAATTGTGTATTCTAACTCATTCCCCCAATTTTTTTGGCATGCTTTAAAAATATAAGGATTGTAAGTACTTTCTGATTATCCATTTTCCTACTGAAAAGAGGCAAAAAAGTATTGATAAGGCAATGAACCATGTCACCAAACAGCATTTATGTGGCAACCCAGATATGAGTGTAGCATATGTTTGTTTGAGTACACACAGTTTTGCGTTTTTGAAATTCAACAGTCATTTTTCTGCTTAATGTTTCATTTTGCATTCAATACATTCATTTTTGTCATAATGAATTGCAATGGAACTGTGGAGTTTGTCCTCATTTATTTTCATTATGGTGGAGTCTACTTTGAAAATTCAATTTTCTTGGACAATTGTGTTTAGTGTGCAATGCTTAGGTTGCATGTAATGAAAAGTTTATGAAATACTCTGATTTTTCATCAAAACACAAACAGATCGCTCTATACATAAAAAGAACAGCAGCAAAAAAAAAAAAAAAAAAAAAAAAAAAAAAAAAAAAAAAAAATTACAGAAAATTATTTCAAGAAAGTTAAATTTTTTAATTTCCCCCCTCCCCCCGTTCATGTACATTTTTAAAAACAAACAGTACTGCATGCATTGATGAAACAATTGTAAATATAGGCAAATAAACATTTCTCTCGAACGTCAGCTATGAGTTTGTGAATGCTCTCCAAAGCTACTAATGAAATTAATTTTTGGGTCAGAATGAGGATAATCAGTACCACACTGCCATTTGCAGAATATACAATCCCTTGCATCTATTTTCTGTTCTTGAAGATGCTTTCATTCAACAATGAACTCGCACGTACACCAATCTGATTACACTTACAAAAAACTTTTAAAGCTCTATTTTGATCTTGTCAAAACTTTGAAACTTCTCCATGATGTACTATTATATAGCCTCAACAGCATTTCATTGATAAACTACTTTCTCCCAGGTTTTTCTCCTATCAGACAAAGAGAATGTCACAGTCTTCGATACACTGATAGTTCTTTTTAAGATGCAATTTGATTTAAAAGAGGAATGAATATAAGCAGTAAATATTAGCCTTTAAATATGCAATAAATTTATGATACAAATAATGAGATCCAATATTTACATCATACAATTAATTTATTTATGATATTTTTTATAGAATAAAACTGCTCTAAAATTTCATGTGTTTTATATTGTCATACACATTACTTTTATAAAATATAGATAAATAAATTTATCTGATTAAATTAAATTGAATTTAAAATATGTGCTCATGAATATTATAAAGATAGCCTAAAACACATAATCAGAGATTAAACAGTTCATAAAATTATTACCACAGGCAAAATTTGCAAAAAGCAGTCTTAATTATATGCTATGTTAAATGCATAAAATTTGGAAATATTATTACTCAGGAAGAAAATGTAATTAAAATATCCTTCAATTTGTAGAAATACATCTACATAAATGCATGAAATGATACATAATATTTACTTGGGAATTGTATTCCTTTTTAGGGTCATCTTTAAATGCGAGAAAAGGATTGAAGTTCAGCACTACTGGAACTCTAGATTTCAAATACATTTCAAACCAAGGACCTATAACATATAAAAATTTATACCCATTGAAAATACTCAGACAAAAAGATAAGAAATTTTTTGGTAATAAATATAAATAATGGATTACAGATTTAAAGATAGTTTCCTGCAGAGAGATGAATGACTTAAAACTGAAAACATATTTAAAGTTTCTATTTAATTAAAATATAAATACAGTACAAAGTCCGAAATCCGGACATCCATTATCCGGAACGATCTAAAATCCGGACCTCAAAGCAACAGACATTTTTTTTTTTTGAGTATGCTTACGCATGTAGCATTTGATTTTTTCTTTCATAATAAAACATGTAGAGATTTTCACTTAAAAATTCCAATTCTTAGTTTTAATTAGGCACTAAATAAAATACCTCGTTATGGCAATCATGTAAGCATAAATTTGTGAGATTAATAATTTCGCTCCGTAGCTGAGTATCTGCTTGGCATACATCTCAAACATTCCGTTCCGTTTATTCGTTCGCTTACCAAAATATTTACTTATTTTATATCCCTGACCCCGACCTTGTGATTCATTATTCATTATTTTTCACTTTCATCACCACATGTTTATCAATACATGACAGCTTCAGTAATAACTCATGCAGTGATGTCTAAACTTTTTTTAATATTAATAACTGAATAACAAGAGTATGGCAACCTTTTATGCTAACATTATGCTTGGCGACAATTATAGATTTTTAAATGTTCTAAGAAATGTTGACGAGAAAAAATTAAACAAAAATTTCTTTTCATATGCTAAAAATAGATTTTGTTAATGAAACTCATAGGTTAAAAGATTACATTTAGTGCTATTTTAATTAAGAATAACTGATATGTTATTCACCATAAACTCAGAAGCGATGGCAAAATATGTTGGCATCAGACAGCAGAATTTAGGGAAGACAAAATTTTTGAAATTTGGGGAAGCACCAGGCGGGAAAATTAAGGGATGACAAATTTTTTATGATTTAGGGAAAGCATTGGGATGCAAAGTTTAGGTGCGGTGAAACTTTGAAACTTAGCAAGGCACTTTGTAGCAGAATTTAGGGACCCGTAGAGACTGCACCTAGGTGGTATCAAGTGCTGGCCCTAGATAAAAGCATTAAGCATATGTGGGAGCTTATTTATTTAGGAACTCAAGATTAGTTTTAAGCATGTGCAAGAAATAAACGTAGGTACAGTAAATAACTAAACTAATACAAGTTGGGCTTAATTCAGTACACAATAGGAGCAAGACACAATTTAGCGATAACAACTTAGCTTTCGTGGCCAATCTTGTGATACACAGCCAATAATGTATAATGGAATGCTATTAAGCTGAGGCTAAAATTATCTTTACTGATTCTAAGGCATTTCAAGTTAATGTAGCACTGTGCATTGCTCCCTAATCTTCTAATTTGATCCAGCTTATTATTTTTTGCAGACTGTTATTATTACGGCAATTTTATAAAAACTAAGCTTGAACTTTCGATTATGTCAAAAGGAGTTTCCAATTCTGGAAGCTGCCAAAGGATCTACAAATCAAAACCATATTTCGATGTCCATTAAACAAAAAGTGAAATCGCTGCAAAAAATGGATAAAGGCATATCTCTCTCAAAATTAATGCGAGGAGTATGGTATTGGATGACACAAGAAAAAGGAACTTTTTGAATTTTTTGTGGAAACAACTTAAACAACTTACATTGAAAGAAATGTTTAATAAAGTCACCAAATAAATATTAAGCTTTTTTTGGAACTACTCTGATATGCGCCCTCAAGTCGCCAAACCCAAGCTGCTATATTGCTATCTAAATTTTTTGTTTATATTTCGAACTTTAAGCCTAAAATGTCTCCAAAAACGTGGTTTTCGCACATGCAAAAACAACGTTTTGAACACACAATTTAAGCTAAAAATCCGAAAGAAAAACAAAAAATTTAGATAGCAAAAACGTAAAGTTTCTAACCAAAAATATTTGACAAGAATCCATGTACACAGTGATATGTTTTAATTTAATAAAACATCTACGAATTGCAAAATATAGACAGCGAAGGAATCTACGAATTACGCACACCTCACTTTAAGAAATTAACATAACAACAATAAATTTCAAAGAATACCATGCACACAGCATCCTGTTTAAACTTTTAAAAAAATCTATGAAATGCACAATTTAGGCAACACATGAATCTACGAACTACTCACACCTCACTTTAATAAATTAACATAACAACAATAAATTTCAAAGAATACCATGTACACAGCATTCTGTTTCAACTTTAATAAACATCTACGAATTGCACAATCTAGATACTACCCACTAATCAACACAATAAACTAAAATAAATTTCAAACAATTCAAAAAAACAACAATGACAGAAAAAAAAAAAATAACGACAGAAATTCATACTAAAAAAAACAATGAACATAACATTCTACAAAATAAGAACAAGAATAAAATAAAATGCACTTACCATGAATTAATGCTTTTTTGAACAGCACAAATACCAATATCATACAGCCTTTAACACGTCACCACGTAATTACTATCGTATTTATATGACAGCCAGACACACTATCCAGAAAATTCATACTATGATTCACAAATAAATAAAATCAAAAATCCATACTTCTATCATGCACAGCCACTAAAAATAATCTCCTATACCTTCTTTCCACTCCTCCAAACACCTACTGCTCCTCAACAGGATGGCCACAATGATATTTCCTTTTGTCGAACTTCAATTCAACAACTTCCACCATTTTATCTTCCCCCTATCTTCTCAGACACAGATGCGAACTAATGACCTCCAGCGAAAGATTTCTCAACGTCAACAGGGTTCCCATACAACAAGCAATCGCACCATAAACCAGCACAGAACACATATCGCCAAATTTGGTAAAATTAGGGCGTATATCAGAGTTGTACCTTTTTTTTTTTTTTTTTTTTTTTGTAAATTTTGATACCCTTTAGATCATAATTGTTCTTTGTTTCATAAAGTACGATTTCATATGTTTAATTGTATAATTTCTACATGCCATCTTACCAGATTTAAATTGATGATCCGGAAAAATCCCAAATCCGGAATCGTTGAAGTCACGACGAGTCTGGATTTTGGACTTTGTACTGTATCATATATATTTTTTAAGTAATAAAAATTATACTTTTCATAAACTAAAAAATATTTTTAAAAATTCATATAAAAGAAAAAAAAAATCATCTAATTTTCTTCGCATTTAAATATATTTAAAGCAAATCTAAACTCAACTTCTGACCTTAAAAATACCTTCTGTTGAAAAAAAAAATTTACGAACTGTCAACAAAAATTAAAAATGTATCTCCTGTTATTATAATATTTTGCTTAATTTTCTTTATTCAGGGAATACTTGATTTTAATGTAAATTCTTCCTTTTAAGAATGTTTAACTTCAAATTTCTCACATTGTAAAACATTCAAATTATAAACATATAAATACACCGTACTTACATATTGTTCCACTGACCATAAAATTGTTGCCAAACAGCATGTTTCAGTGCCAATTGTGGATAAGCATATCACAATACATTCATAACATCAGTACTTCCATCTGATGCAATTCTCAATAAGTCATGTTTTATTTTAACAAACTAGGATATAAAGTAGCAGTTTTTTACTCTACTTTATTCCCCTTGTGTGTCATAAAGGTGATTAAAATTTGCATCCTGTTTGCTTCAGAACAACAAGCAGTAGATATTTTTTAAAGTTATGGGGTTCCTACTATTAAAAAAAAAGTGTGTATTAATGGATACAGTATGGTCATATGGCTAACAAAACAGAAACAGATTGGAACAATTACCTGCAGGAAGTTTGTACTCATAGCATTCAAACCAGGGTTTACGATAAAATTGGAGGTTCTAACAATTAATAAAAATTGAAGAAAGCTTTTATGAAGTGCAAAAAAGTGAAGCGAGTCTGCTGATTGTTTATTAAATTAAAGAAGAATAGATTATTTCATAATTCCACAGGAATGACTGGTGCAACTTTAATGGGGTTTCCGCCATCTTTCCCAGTTGATAGAATAATACATAAGTACAAAAATAGTGCATTAAATTATAAAATTACTCAGCCTTTTAAAAATATAGGTTTTCAGCTAATGAAGGATTTAATTTTACGATGTATCATTTCAGTCTATGTCAAAACATCCTAACTAAAACAGAAAAGTTATAGCTTTTAGCTACAGTTACATCTTACTAATTTAAAACACCATTTCTTACAAATTAATAATACACTCATTCATAAATATTTCTAACATGAGCAATAAATCTGAGACAGAAACCACTGGTAATATGTAAATTACATCATACTTTCCTAAATTAAAAGTTATCAACTTTTATATTTAGGTTGTTAACATCATTAAATATCTAAAAAGGTAACTACTATAAATTATCACAAGAATAACACTTACCCGAGATATAACTTGTATGCTTATTTCTTGCATTAGAGGCTTTTAACAGCTCCTGAAGCTCTAAAAAATAGCACAGAATTAAAAAAATTCATAATAAATAAAAAAATCAGCAACATTCAATCTTAATTTCAAAATATTATAAAGTATACATATAAATTACATTAACTAATAAAAAGGGCTATATATAAATGAAAATAATCTATTATGTGGCATGCATGAGGGGGCAATCTATTTTCATCATGAATTCAGGGGGAGAAAGAAAGGAAGAAAAAAGGAACATTAACTTGCAAAATTCAGATTACAGTCTAATAACCTTGGAATATAAAGCTGTTATACAATGGTATGAATAAATAAGCAAGTTGTTCTGTGAGATTTAAAATGAAATTCAGTTTAAAAAACATATAAGAATAATAAACAAGCCCAATTTTTGTCCTAACAGTCCTAGATAAAAATAGGGGAAAGATTACTGGACAATGAATAAGATAGTAGAATTTTAGTTTTTCAAATGCATTCTAAAAACTATGATCCACATCAAAGCCACTACTTACAAATGGTAAGAAAAAGAATTTTCAAAAAATTTTCATGTGGTAAAAAAACCATTAAAAATGGAATTTTAAAGACGGCAAATAAAAAATCAACACATTAATCTGATAAATAAAAATATTTAAATAAAATAAAAACAAATAACCTGCTAATTGAGTTTCAGATTAGTCTTGTATCTCGAGAGGAGCTTACCATTAAATTTCTTTATATTAAGAAATATGTGTGTGTGCCTATATATATAATCTGTAATATCTTGATGATTGGATGATAGCTGTAATGAATTTAGGAAGTTATTTTATTGCATAATGCATAACAAAAGAGAGACAGTTGAGGTCATAGATACAATAATTTTATTTCTTTATAAAACAAGCCTTTAGAAACAAAATGAAGTTCAAACATTAATATGGGTATCATATGTACCCAATCTCCATAACATTCTTTGAAATTTACATCTTTAGACAATGAAAGCAGACAGATGAGAGGTACACGTTAGCAAGAGCAAAGGCAAGGCAAAAAATGAAAGAGCTACACATTTAGAAGAAGTGAGAGATATAGAATTGATTCTTTGCTGAAATTTTGATCTGTAATTGGAAAAAAAAAAAAAAAAAAAAAAATAGATACATTGCTACACATTACATAAGATGGCATGAATTGCATTAATTTTGAAATGACACAGTTTAAATTTGTATATAATCAGTTAGTAGTTATAGGACAGGAAGGGAGTATAGCCAAATTAAAAGGAGGAATAAAAGGGACTATTGCCAAGTTAAAGTTAGTACAGTACAAAGTGTGAAATCCGGACCCGTCGGGACTTTGACGATTCAGGATTTGGGATTTTTCCGGATATTAGATAATCAACTGAAATCTAGTAAAATGGGATGTAGAAATTACAAAATTAAAAATATGAAATCGAGATTTATGAAATAATGAAGTATTTATAATCTAAAGGTTATCAGAATTTACAAAAAAAAAAAAAAAAAAAAAAAAAAAAAAAAAAGCTAAATACTCATTTGTTTACCTTAATAAACATTTCTTTCAATGCAAGTTGTTTAAGTTGCTTTGTTTTTTGTGCTAATACTTTCTCTTTAATTCTGCAGACAGGCATAATCTCTTCAGTTACATTGTTGAAGCCCTGAAACTGCTGTTTGCAGAATTCAGGCTAACTTGTTAATCAAAATTTTCTCATTTTCAGCAAATTCTCTGTCACTTTCTTCACTAGCGGTAGCAGTATTTTCTGGATCTATAACCATACTACAGTTGCTTCATTCATTCATCGAGTGACGAGCATTGTCATCACAATGAAAAACTTTAGTATCATCTTCATTTATTACCGCTTCTCCACATTTCTTTAAAAAATACGTTAATTGGAAAATTTCACCTTTGTTCTGCAATATCCGAAAACCTTTAAAATTAGCGGCTATCATCAGCACATTTAACTATCCTTCACTATACATACTTGGCTATGCATCATGAGCTTGGCGACTAACAACAAGTTGTTCCGTTAAATTTTGTCTTGCTTCTATCGTGCACTGAGACAATTAAGCCCGAATTGTACTAGTTTAGTTATTTATTATACTTATGTCCATCTCTTGCATATGCTTAAAGCTTATCAGAGTTCTGAATAAATACATTCCCACATATACTTAAGCCTTATTGAGGGTTGGCACTAGATATCTTACTGCCTGATGCAGTCTTTGTGGGTCCTAAATTCTACGACTTGTTGTGGCCATACGAGCCCTGGCATTGGTTCTGGGTTTATGTGAATAACAAATCAGTTACTCTTAATTCAAATAGCCCTAATCTTTGGGTCTATGAGTATCATCAACAAAATCTCTTTTTAGCAAAGAGAAAGACATTTTTGGAAAATTTTTCCTCAACAACATTTTTTAGCACATTTAACTTAAATCTGTGATCATCGCCAAGTGTAATGTTCACATAAAAGGTTACCATACTCCTTTATCATTCAATTACTAACATAAAAAAATTGTTTAGGCATCGATACACGAGTCATTACTCAAGTTGTCATGTTTTGATAAACATGCAGTGATGAAAGGAAAGTATAATAAATAATGATTCGCCAGTTTGGCATCAGTTCAACGATGTATCTATGTCGAATGTTTCAGTTTCAGATGTGTGCCAAGCACATATGCAGCAATGAAGCCAAATTAAGGATGGTACAAATTTTATGCTAAAATAATTGTTTCTTCAATAAAAAGGTATTTTATTTAGTGTCGAAGTGAAATTAAGAATCGGGACTCTCCAAATGTTTTATTATGCATGGAGGGGGGGGAATTAAATGTGCAAGTATAATGCCTACGAAAAAACTTTGTTGGGGGTTTGGAGGTTCGGAATTTAGATCATTCCGGATAATGGAGGTTCAGATTTTGTACTGTAGTTTGTTTTCATATTTTATATATTTACATACACATATAGATATGTGTTGGAAGTACATCCCTTGCACCCCACTTACTGCCGTTTGCAACACCAAGAGCTGAAGAAGAGTACTGGCTATGAACAGTAGCAGATACGTCCTTCCAGAAGCAAAGCTGATGAGCTTTGGACACTGCAATACAGATAATTGCATGGTTGGTATTCCTGGAGCCTTTGAGGAAATATTTAAACTGTGCTATCTCTGTGGGGTTCTCTAGCCACTATGGTAATTTTATATTTCACCAACTTTTAAATTCATCATAGAAATTTAGTAATAAAGTAGTGTAGTTTAAATTTTGATCTTGTGCTCAAGTCATCCATTATAACCCACATATATATATATAGTGTATAGGAGGAATCCAGTGTTTTTAACTTGTGGCTATATACATGGCTGAGTAAAGAGGCAAACAGACGATGATAACAAAAGTGGACTTTGATATATTTTTACACATATCCAATCATTTCTTAGTAGGTAAGATACTTCTAGATCATAAGCAATTGCAATAATTTTTATATAAACGCTATATCATCTTAGAATAAGAACAAAGGAAAGCATAGCAGCATACAGTTGTTGGCATGGCAGAAGCTACGAAAAGGAATGGCAGTGCTTGTGAAAAATATTTATACTAAGTACGATGCATAAGTACAGCTAATCTGTCATTGGTTAATTTTAGGTTGCTATGTAACATGGAAAGATCTTGATCTATGTAATAACACATATATAATATGTAGACAAAACGTAAGAAATTTTGAACCAAATTCACAAAGACATGAAATGAAATTCAAAACCAGTGAAACCCCAAATTCCCTATAAATGTGTCAAAAATCTCAACCTAGGCATCTAACTAGAAGAATACTGTGTGAAATAAAAAAAATTACAAAAAATATATAGAAAGAGAAGTGCAGTTAAAATCTGATTCAATGTTATCAAGAGGAGGAGATCAGATTCAACTGAACCCCTTGCACCCAAGGAAAATCACTGCATTTCTTTTAAAACAAAATTAACTGATGAATCATTCTAAATTATTTAATTATAACAGTAGACGCGAAAATTCTGAAAAAAAATTTTTAATACTTTATCATCTGATTTTTGTCTTTATTTATATTTTTTTAGAAATATTTTGCTTCTGTTCTTAAATAAAAATAACATATTTTCTATTTTAATGCCAAATTTTGATGTTTGTTTCTTCAGTTCTTTCTTAGAATGTAAGGGAGTACAAACAAAAAATATGAAAATACGAAAAAAGCATATTAATGGAACAAAATTAAAAAAAAAAAAAAAAAGACTATATACATAGATATAGATTTGAAATCTGTATGTTTCTACAAATTTCTTCATAAGAATTAAATTTTATTTTGGATATAAACAAGAGTATACAGAAGAAATAAAAATAATATATTTTACAATCGATACATTTTACAGTTCTTAACCAATTAATCGATCATAATTCATTGCAAAAACAGTTCATCACATCATAATTTGCAATATATTTATTAAAAGAATTAAAACTACAGGCAGTGAATTGTTCATCCGACATGCATAATTTGACCACAATAGGTGCTACTTTGAGCACACATTCCAACCAATATTTTCAAAATAAGATGGATGGAATAAATTATTTAAGAAGGATTTTCTTCTTTTCTCCTTGTTCATTCCACACAACATTCAAAACTAGGTGAAGCTAAGGAGGCAAAAAGCTACTCCTTAGTTATCAAAATTGATTCTGAAGACTTTTAATTAACCGTTTGATTACGTTGCATTTAATTTTGTGCATTTATTTATGCATTTATTAGTAAAAACACAAGTTCCCTCAAAATTATAAGTACACATTATAATTAATATTTTTAATACATATATAATTTTATAGAAGAGTGTAATAAATAATTGTGCTATCTTAAGTATGTTATTAAGTAATATTTATTATTCTATTTCTATTATTATAATATTTAGTTATACTCTAACAAATAATTAGGTATTTATTGGTTATACTCGGCCATAAGCTCTTGGCAGTAATTTTTTGGTACTAAGGGAAAAAAAAAACATCAAAAGTAAGTACAACAGGTTAAAATAAATAGTAATTCAGAAATTCAATGGATTTGTTTCAAAGAGCTACAAGTAATTACAGGCAATGCGACTGACTACTCAATACTATTTGTAGACTGGCGGAAAGAATACTTGAAGTAGATGAGGATTTCCAAAATGCGATTGGGGACAAAAAATTACTACCATGAATATGTGACCGCGTTAGTTTGGTTTATTTTATTTCGGCAAACCTTACAAATAGGCTACCTAAATAAGAAAAGGAATGCTTTTTTAGAGAACTTTCTAAGGAAAGTTGGCTTGACTTAATGTCACAGCATGGCATCCCTCTTTCCAACTGGAAATGGAATCCACCAGCAGGACAATGTCCCATGCCACAAGGCTCAAATTATGTTGGAGTGGTTCAAGGAGCATAAGCATTAATTCCAATTAATGTTCTGGCTACCTGACTCAATGGATTTCAATGGAAAATGTCATGAATCACGTTATTGAGTATGTGATCATAATGCTTTGGCTCTTCAGTGTATATGCATAGTATTTTATTTCTATAAAAAATTATTTTTCTGTACATTTATGTAATAAAACCTAATTATTTCACCCACAGCATTAAAAAGTACACTGCAGGGGGGGAAAGGACACTCTCCTGTTCTGCTGGGTTGATTGACGAAATTCAACTTGCATTTTTCATGTCCCGAAAGCACGACTTAGGATATGCATTAGATTTATATATAGCACTGTTTCTAATATAGGTATTTTGACACAAAATCGGACTTTTTCGGAAATAACATACCATTTTTTCCCCATTCTTTGATTCTACGACTCAAATTATGCCAAACTACCAAGTTTTGTAAAAATCGCACGAGTAGTTTTTAAAAAAGTAGCTCTCAAAATTTTAGTTCCTCAATGATAATTGAGTTTGGTATATATTTATTAATCTCTCTTCTCTTATTAAACTTATTTGATTCTTCCTTTCACAATATGAAATTTAGGTTCATTCCAAATAAAATTCACCCATTTTTTATGATTTATTTTTAAAATTTGTATTTTTAAATAATTTTTCAAAAAACGTTTTGAATTATAATCTATTTTTACCATATCTTAAAGTAGACATATTTCTAAACGGTACTATTCGGTTTTGAGGGCCGTAAAAATCACCAAATTATTGTTGATACCACTGCTGCCAAAAATAATTGCAGCAACCTAACGCAAGATAGGAAGTATAATAGTAAATAACTATCTAAGATTGATGTTTTAATTTAGATGAAAGGTTAATTTCATATAATACTTTTTTATTACTATAATTATATAAAAAAAGGCTAAACATGACTGAAAAAAAAGCATATAATATTTTTATTATTTAATTTATATAAAAAAGGCTAAACATGACTGAATGGAAGCACATAAGAGTAAATAAACTATTTCAGATCATTATTATAATTTATATAAAAATTGCTTAAACATAATTGAATGGATGCCTGCATCACTATTTCACTACCGAGTTATCGCTAAAGCATACTTTCATCTCGTTGGTTGTTCAAACATAATGTTCTATAATGAATGCCTTTTCTTTGAAAAGATTTTCGGTAAAGTGCAGAATCGCCCACTTATTTGTTTGCTGCTTTTTACAAGGGTAAAAACAATTGGATTTTTGTCAATTTTCTTTTACTTTTTAAGTGAAAATAGGTCGATGTGTACATAGATAAAGTCAAGGGTGTGCGCAGTGCCATTTTTGTGCAATTCTGGGATTTTTTTTTAAAAGTGAAAATAGGTCGATGTGTACATGGATACCGAGTATGTGCAATTCTTAAAAATGCATCAAGCAGTGGGTGATTCTGCAATTTACCCAAAATTCTATTGCACACTTTTCGTCATGGGCAATTCCCAAATTGTTAAATCCATAGGATATCAAAAAAGGATTTAAAATCAAATTAAAATCAAAAAAGAATTTTAAAATTAAACTAGTATTTCAATGGCATCTTAAATATGGAACTATATAAACTTGCACAATCTGAAATCAGCTGTACGCTAGATTTGGCATGCTGTTAAATGGGTGCCTTTGCCAGATTTGGCGCTTTTGCACATATTTTTTCGCTGCAATTTTTTTATGGTCCTCAAAACAAAATAGTACCTTCTAAGCATACCTGCAAAAAATTACAGTTTTTTATTCAAAATTTCCAAAGATATACATAAATTTATATATTGGTGCATTTTGAAATTTGGCATATTTGTTTTGAAAGCGATAAAAACACCAAATGCGTTATAGAGCACTTTCGATAAAAACTATTGCAAGTGAAAGTATTATCACGAAGTGACTATTTTTCCCCGCTCAATGCACAATGTAAAAAGTAGGAACGAGGAAAATAGGTTTCCGTATCCGTATAATAGAATGGAAAATTGGTTACCATTTAGTAAGAGGTTCACCAACTGAAAATTTATTCTTGGCGCAAACTGAGAAAAATGCGCCAAGATAAATTTTTGAATTAGCTCCGTAAATTTCGTATCAAATATTGCAAAATTTAATGTTTAGGCATAATTTGAGTCTAGTAGAATCGAAATATGAAAAAAAAATTGGTATGTTATTTCAAAAAAAAGTCTGATTTTGTGTCAAAATGTCTGAATGTTAGATACAATGCTATATATAAATCTAATACATATCCTAAGTCGCGCTTTCGAGATATGAAAAACGTAATTTGAATTTTGTCAATCGGCCCAGTAGGACGGGAGAAATAGAACTGTCCCATTTTTTTTTGTTTTGCGCAGTGTACAAGTAAATAACTGGCTAATCTTTGGAATATGGTAACAGGTAGTTTGGCGACAGTTTAATAAGGCGTTAAACGTTACTAGCTAGGACTTTAGCAGTGTACATGGATAAAGTTAAAAGTGTGTGCAATGCCATTTTTGTGCAATTCTGGGATGTTTTTTTAAGTGAAAATAGGTCGACGTGTACATGGATGATACCGTGTATGTGCAATTCTTAAAAACGCGGCAAGCAGTGGCCGATTCTGCACTTTGTCCCAATTTCGCACCTAATCTTCGTCATGATTAAGCACTTTTGTTCCATAAAAGTTCTAGCATAAGCGTAATTCGGCTAGTAGATTGTTGGAAAAAATTGTTGATTAAAAAAAAAAAAAACATGCCTTTACTTTGTGAAAACAAAATGGCATCCAAACAAAAACTACCAGGTTGCTATAGCAGGGTTGGTCGCCAAATTTCGCCAAAAAATTGCCAAGTTACCATAATCCAAATATTAACCAAATAACTTAAAGATTTCATAACACAGGATAAGCTAGACAGAATATACATATTAGACTACAAAATAAGAAGTAAAGCAGAATATGAAAATTTGGAAAATTAAGATACCATCATGGAATCATAGGATAGATAAATTTATTAAAGCAGCAATTTTTTTTTTTTTTTCCTTTGGCTAAAGCCTGTTTCAGCATAACATCTGCTTTCACCAGCAAATGTTTTACAGATACATACACTGGCAGTATTCTCTTAGAACTAAAAGTTAATATGACTAAGATGAAGAAACATTTAAGATACAAACATTTTTTAATTCTCACCTTTTCCTTCATTACTTTTGAATTTTTCTACTATTTCAGCAGTTTTCTGTAGCTTGTCTGCACTAATAATAGGTTTGAGAGCATTTATATATCTTTCACAGGTTTTTTCTAATTCAGGAATAGGAAGGCGAGGCAAGCTGTCTTGAAAATGCATTGTAGGTACAATACTGCGCTGAATATATTGTATGTCTTCTTCTGGTCCTCTGGAAATATTAGCATACTGAATTTGATAACTCATAGCATTTCATAATGCAATGAATAAAAAATATATGAAATGCTTTTTCTTAAGCTAAAATATAAAATGAAACCTTTATCCATTAAAGTGTTACTTGGCATATCAGCATTTTAAAGCAACTACTCTATGCAAACTTGACCAGGCCAAATAAAAAACAAAATGTCACCTTTAACCTTCTAATGGCTATGCTGTCCTGATGGCTTTACATTATGCGTCATTTGGCATATTTTCACTGAGCTGGATAAGTCACGCTTTGCGCGATATCCTGGATATACTGGCACACATTAGATTAGATTAAGGTGATGTGGTAGAACAAACTGTTAAGCAGTTGCAGATGACAGCTATCCAAATATCCATGAACAATCGCTGCTCATTGCCAAGCTTCAGTGTCTATTTATGATAACCCCCATATGCATACAATGTGTCTCTATATCTTTCGATTCAATATAAGTGGTTTATACCAGTCAAAATATAGTTTTAAAAATGAAAGAACTAAGTATTTTTTTAAGTTTTCTTACATGTGTCAAGTAAGAATATGGTGAAATTTAGCAGCCCAAATAAACAATAGTCTCTTCATGGTAGTCTCAAACTATGAGCAGAAATACAAGTGTGTGATAACTCCATTGTTCCTAAAAAAACTACGAGGGAAATGCACATTTTTTATTGTTTTTACAAAATTTTTTATTGCCCCTTGGAAGCAAAGTATTTTTATAATTGACACAGTAAAATACCAATTCAGTGATTTTTAATCTTTTATTGTTTCTTCAAAATTAGGTTAAAATATCAAAAACAATTACTTTAAAATGCACAAAAGGTATATTAAAAGAAAGTTGTAAATGTATATTGTTATACACAGTAAATTTTATAATTATTTCATTTAATAATGATATCTTAGTGTGCATATTTATCAAAGAAGCTTTACCATATTTGTGTGTACTATATGAATATTGCAATGCTATGTATAAATATATTGCTCAATGTTTTCACACGGCCATAATAAATATTGTAATGCACTATTCATAAATATAAAGAACTGCTTGGGACAATGTCTGGCACAACTAATTAAATATTTTATGATAAGGGGTGTACAATTTTTCAATATGCTCATTAAGAATCCTTTTGTTTCTTCATTTCAGTCAATCTCCTTTACAAAATCAGACAGATTCAGTCCTTTTTTTTAATAATTCGTTTATTCGTTTTTTTTTTTTTTTTAAATTCTTAGATGTTAAAGGCTGTTTATCTTCTTCATTATTGCGTATTGCTGCTTTCACTGTCTGCTAATGTTATAAAACTGTTCTTGGCTGATCTTTGGAATATGGTAACTGGTAGTTTGGTTTGGAGGCGATAAAGGTTAATAATGTGAAAAGTACTCAGTACATTACGCATTATTTTGTGTGAGGGAAATGAGAGATCATGAGATATGTCATGTGACATTAATGGACGAATTACAGTTCTTTAATCGGAAAAGGGGGGAATCTGGAAAAAATCTGGAAATTTTGTATTTAGCTTTATTCTGTGTTGTGTGAAACAGTGTTGATTAATTTTTGGATCCTATGGCCCTAACTAAGTGATTCGAAATGGGTATTTAGTGGGATGAAAGGGTAGTAGTAATAAGTGTTTTTTTAAGGTTGTGCGAGATAGAAGTAAAGATGTTTTATTAAGTTATTTAGGTTGATCTTTACATTATGGTAACTTGGCTTTTTTTGGCGAAAATTTGGCGACCAACTCTCCTACAGCAACCATCTATTATTTTTTCCCACCGCCATTTTGTCTTCACGAAGTAAAGACATGTTTCTTTTCTTTTTATCTACTGAACACTTCTTCCAACAATCTACTGCCGAATTACACTTATGCTAGAAATTTTATCTAACAAAACTGCTTAATCATGACAAATATTCACTGCAAAATTGGGAAAAAGTGCACAATACCATACTCCTTACGCGTTTTTCAAAATAACACATACACATAAACCATGTACACGCTGACTTATTTTTACTTAAAAAAACATCCCCAGAATTGCACAAAAATGGCATTGCGCACACTCTTCACTATATCCATGTACACTGCTTTTTTCTCATAAAATTAGCAAAATTTCACGAAAATACATGGACAATTTTCTCAATCTTTAAAACCCGGTAAAAAGAACATATGAAATTACGTGATCGCAAAAAAAATATTACCCTTTCCAAATATGAACATTCCTACCTATAAAATAAATAAAATATCCAAAAAACTTTTACCTCTAAATCATCTATTACTTATACACGTCACCAACGATTCATACCGCAAGCATTACAAATACTTAGTATCAAATATTTAAATTTTTCCATGCACGTTTACTTCAACTAAAACGTATACCAAATTCCTACAAACATAAATTCACAAAAATAAACTATCATTTATTAAAAAATAATAAATTCAAAAAAACACTACTTAAAATAAAAATGAAGCACATACATTAAATTAATACATACAAAATACCCATTTCGAATTCACTTTAGTTACGGCCATGGGATCCAAAAAAAATTCAGAACACTGTTTCACACACACACAGAATAAAGCCAAATACAAAATTTCCAGATTTTTTTCCCCCCTTTTCCGATTAAAGAAACCGTAATTCGTCCATTAATATCACATGACATATCCCATGATCTCTCATTCCCTCACACAAAAAATTGCATAATCGGAACTGAGTTATGCTCACATTATTACCAAAGTCCCAGGTAGTAACCTTTATCGCCTCCAAAATGTCGCCAAACTACCAGTTACCATATTGTAAAGATCAACCGTTATTTATTTTACTTGGTACCTTGCTGTGAACCATAAGTATGATTTTAAAGATCGTGAAATAGGCGCACATACAATTGCTTTTTATTTAGCGGAGGAAATAAGAAAAGTTTATCGGCCACGTAATCAAGATTCTAAAGAAGATTAGGTAAGTTAGTATTTTTAATTATTTGAGGATATTATTTTTATGCATTGTTCTAAATGTAAAGAGTAAATAAAGTAATATGGTATTATTGGAAAATTGTATTAGCAATGATTAGTTATATTAATAGGATTGTAAGCTTTTATTAATTTAATCTATGTGCTTATTTATATTTAAGTAATGTTTTTGAATTTAATTATATTTTAATTAAATGATAGTTATTTTGTGAATTATATGTTTTGTAAGAATTTGGTATACGTTTCATGGAAGTAAACGTGATGGAAAAATTTAAATATTTGACACTAAGTATTGTAACCATTTGTAATGTTTGAGGTATGAATTCATTGGTGACGTTTATAATCTAATAGATAATTTAGAGGTAAAAGTTTTTGGATATTTTATTATTTATACGTGGAAATGTTCATCTTGGAAAGGGTATTACTTTTAGCGATCAGGTAATTTCATATATGTTCTTTTTTACCGGATTTAAAATTCACAAAATTTTTCATGCATTTTCGTGAAATTTTCTAATTTATGACAAAAAAGCAGTGTACATGGATATGGTGTGAAGAGTGGTGCGCAATGCAATTTTTTGTGCAATTCTGGGAATTTTTTTTAAGTAAAAAAATAAGTCGACGTGTACATGGTTTAGGATATTTTAATTAAATGATAGTTATTTTGTGAATTTTATGTTTGTAGGAATTTTGTATACATTCAGAAGTAAACGTACATGAAAATAATTTAAATATTTGACACTAAGTATTTGTAACCATTTGTACATGTTTGCGGTATGAAACTCGTTGTGACGTTTATAATAATAGATAATTTAGAGGTAAAGTTTTTGGATATTTTATTTTATTTTATACGTGGAAATGTTCACCCTGGAAACGGTATATACTTTTTCGCGATCAGGTAATTTCATATATGGGCTTTTTACCGAGTTTAAAGATTCAAAGAATTTTTTTTGCATTTTCGTTGCAAATTTGTGTAATTATGAGAAAATAGCAGTGTAGATGGATAAAGTTAAGAGTGTGTGTACAATGCCATTTTTGTGCAATTCTGGGGATGTTTTTTTAAAGTAAAAATAAGTCGACGTCTAAAGGTTTTATGTGTATGTGCTATTCTGAAAACGCACAAGGAGTTTGCGATTGTGCACTTTTTCCCAATTTTGCGTTAATATTTGTCATTGATTAAGCAGTTTTTGTTACATAAATTTTCTAGCATAAGTGTAATTCGGCTAGTAGTATTGTGGGGAAAAGTGTTGAGTAAATAAAAAGAAAAGAAACATGTCTTTACTTCATGCAGCAAAAAAAAAAAAAAAAAAAAAAAAAAAGGGTTGCTGTAGCAGAGTTGATCGCCAAATTTTCGCCAAGTTACCATAATCCAAAGATCAACCCAGTTCTTAAGTGATTCTTTAATTTCTCCACCTTCCGTATCTAAAACTGCTTCACTACCTACTGCTTTTGTAATCTGTACAATTCCTTTAGCCTCATTTTCAAAATTGTTGATGGCTTCTTGTTAGTACTGATACCAGCAAGCTTTCATTGTTGATAAATTCATTTATTCCCATGCAAATTTGTTTTTATACAATGTCTTATGTTGAACTGATTCCAAAATGCCATGCTTTTCTTTATCTAATGTTTTATTTGCAGAGATATAAATATGCCTGCATAATACACTTTGAATGTTTTTATGATTCCTTGACATATTAATTGGATTAAAAAAGTGGTGTTCAGCAGAAGGAATAAAACTTATATTTAGTTGCAATGTTGTAAAGGCTTCAGCACTGTGCCCTGGAGCATTATTGGGAATTAGGAGAACTTTAAAACTCAGATTTTGCTGTCTTAAGCAAAGGTTGACTTCTTTAATGATTGAATTTTTAAGCTTAAAGAGGATTATCGCAATTCGACCAACGCTCTGCAGCATACCTCATATAATTGAAATTCTCATGGTGGACAAAATAAATGAAGACAATTAAGATAATGCATATATGCGAAATAGCATTCTGCAAGTCTGTATCGGGCAAGTGTTTACTGCAACTATATTTCATTTTATTAGGATAATCAATCCACTATTGCATTTCCATTACCATTTACAGATTCAATATAATCAGATTTGCTCGTATCATCAAACATTATGATATGTATTGCATTTCACTTGTATAACACACACCCTAAGTATTTTTATTAGATTGCTGGATTGCAATTTAATAGAAGAAACATATTACATAAACTTACTGAAACCAACGTTTACTCAGTTATACAACTCATCATCACTGTCAGAACTCCCATATATTAGCTGGACCTCATCTGTGTTCCCTCTAAAGTACACATCAGCCTAAGGTGCAGTTTCCCGAAACACATCGTATCAGTTTATCCTTACTGGAGACAGTCTTGTCCTAAAAGGAATCTTTTGTGATCTTTAAGGTGACTCAGTATAACCTCTCAGAGGAAAAAGTGTTGTTAGGGAATAGCAATGATATTATTGAAACCTCTATAGTCTATGTTTGTCAGTGAAGGGGTAGAGTGAAAGAAATTGTTGTGAATGTCAAATAGAATTTGACACTTAAAAAAAAAAAAAAAAGAAAAAAAGAAAAGAAATAGGTGAGTGAAGGCCTTGGCATTCTACCATATATGCCATTGATAATCTTTCACCCTTGGTTCGCAACACCATCATTAGCACTTCTGTTGGTGCTAACGCAACTGTTGTATAAGATGCACCCAGGTTTAGACAACATTTTTTATGAAAAAGTAAATCTTATATAGTAGTAAAAATGGTATTTCTTTTTAAATCAATATAGTCTACAGACATACAGCAAAACTTAAGAGGAGACTGTTATTATATGACACATACAAAAATCAACCCCATAATGTACATGATCTGAAAGTTGTGGGCTGAGCCAAGGGTAGAAACTACTCAGATAAAAGTGCTACTCAGCAATTACAAAGAAATGACTGACAGCTCATTTAACAACTCTTCAAACTAATAAGTCAACAGTTAGCAAGGAGAACTATGCACAAAATCTAGTTAGGCATTCAGGCAATAATTAAAATTTATTTGCAAAGGCACATTAACTTTTTCTTGCTGTGAAAAAGTTAAACCAGTGTTTTTTACACAACATATTAAAATAAACTAAATAATATGACATATTAATCTATAAACCTTCAATGCTTAATTTGTCAAAATTGTATGAAATGATTGCAAACAATGCAAAATATATTTCAGATTCTTTCTGTAATAAATATGAAAGAAGTATGAGAACACTTCAGAATTATATCTAAAATATGATCATTCACAAAATAAAATTCATTACTAAACTATACCAAAGAAGAAAAGAACACTTACGAATGAAAAAAGCATTTTCTAACTCTCTGGCTCTGAAATAATTCAATAAAACATATAACAAACACATAGAAATACTGCTAAGTGAAAAAAAAAAATACATCAAGCAAATAATTATAATTAAATAAACATTTCACATTTCAAACAGTTAACACATTCACTGTCATCTATAAGAATACTCGCAGCTGATAAACTGAGTTTACTTATCAGCTACAAGAATACTTGTAATTGACCACCTTAACTAAATCACCGAATATTAGTATTGGCAGAGCAAATGCATGTAGGTGTATCATGAAGAAACTAATACACTTGGCATAATGAAGTAGATCATCTATTTCTCACATTGTAGATACAATAACAGAATGTTTAGGATGCAGAAACATATCTATTCATGATATATTTTGAAGATCTCGGCAAATAAAAGACACTTTTATTATAACATATTGAAATTTGACTTCGCTGAACTATCAATATACTAGGGCGAATCAATCTAATATATCAATACTTAAATTATAAAACAGCAGAAAATAATTCGGAAGGGTAAAAGTGCAGATCAGTTTTGGCAGTGAACGTATTAAACTTAGTTCTTTAATAGCTATACTGAAAAATAAATTTGTCCTTAACAGATAATTACGAAAAGTAGGCATATTTCTCTAAATTGGATTGTTTAGCGTTTTATTTAGTATTTTAGTTTAGATTATTTAGGGATTAATTATTTTCACTTTGTAAGAAAATTTTCAAAACTTCTAAAACACGCAATGTCATGCTTTTATATTGCCCAAGTAAAGGGTACATACTTACAGGAATGGACTTTCGTACATTAAAACAATTAAGTAAATGAGAGGCATTTGACGAATTTATAGACCTGCACCAAAAACTCATTTTTAAGAATATATTGTTTTAATTATTAAATTTATTTACTGAAATATTAATTGTTTACACGGCACACAACGCCTGCGATAACTGATCAAGGAAAAAATAAACATAAACATCACATTTTTAACGGCAATTTTTCCTGATGCCAAATCTAAAATTCAAATTTTTATGTACACCGCATACATATCATTAGCATTTCTTTTAGGGGAGCATTCAACTGCAACGCTTATCGTGGTAATCGCAGTTGCATTGCAAAACCGACACGCCTATTGTAAATACGTCACTACCATAGAGGACTGTAAACAAGAAGGCTGAAGTGATTTACTCAGACGTTTAAGAAATCGGAGAAATGCTTCTATGGTATTTAAAAGACAGACGTAATTCTTTCGAAATGTCTGAGCGAGAATTTATCAGTAGATTTAGATTAAGTCGAGTCGCTGCTATGAATTTATGCAATGAATTGAAACCTTTTCTGAAGGCAATTGCCAATGGATATTCTGTGCAAATGCAGGTTTGTTTTTACTTTACATTATGAAACCTGAAATACTTCTGGAAATGTTTCTGATTCAAAGACTATGCTTAAATAATATGAGAATATTATATATTTTTATACGTAAACAAACAAATTTTTAATGTTCCTGTGTGTCAGGATTTTTTCTTTTTCATCACGTTTTTTTTTCGTAGTAATGATCAAAACAGCGTTGTTAATTACTGCAAATTTTTTAATTTAGTAATAATATGGGTAGAGTATACTTTGAGGTACCGCTTGTATTATGGCGAAGTTGTTGTTTGATTTATCGCCAAGTTGTTCTTTCATTTATGGTAGCCTGAAGAGTTGAATGTTATGGAAACCTATTGGGAGTAATCGGGTCATTATTCGGAAATTTGAATCGGTATTTTTTGTAAGCGTTTTTGTGGTGTGCGTTGGTTTGATTCTTTAGACGTAAATGCGAATGTAGCAAGATTAATTTGAAGTTCTGTCTTTTGAGCGAAAGGGGAAAAGACTTTTAATTGACTGGTGGGTTTATTTAGTAGCCTTATAAGTGCCCTGTTGTAGGAAGGCTATGCGACTGTCGAATATAAAACCATTTAGATGGATTTGATGGGTTTGCGGAAGAAAGGTTCAGATGGTCACTATGGAAGGGTTCGATCAGAAGTACCGTTTTGAAAAAGTTATTTGAGTATAATTGATATTTGATTTCTACGTGGCTCTGGGTGTACGAAGCGACTCGAAAAATCATGGTAAGTGAATATTTTGCTTTTGGTATGCTTAATTATAATATGTTTTTCCTTTTTTATGTTATTTTATTGTTTGGTTTAAAATATATTTTTATTGAGATTATGTATTTTTGTTTGCCTATATTGTAGAATTGGGTACTCTTGACTCTAGTGAAAATATCGATGTACATGGACAAAGAAGGAGTGCGCATGCAAGTTTGTGCAATTCTGGGTTTTTTTTAAGTGAAAATAGGTCGACGTGTACATGGATAAAGTCAAAGGAGTGCACAATGCCATTTTTGTGCCATTTGGGATTTTTTTTAAGTGAAAATAAGTCGATGTGTACATGGATACCATGTTTGTGCAATTGTTTGTCTTGTTATTTTGGCTTTGTGTAGTGGCGATTTTTGGCGGAAAAATCGCCGCTTCGCAAGCCAAATTAACGAGTCAAAGAATTGCACAAATTCGGTATCCATGTACCGCCAAAAATCGCCAAGGGGTACCCTAAACTATACTTTTACCAATAATATCCCCATTAATTTATCATTTTGCGTTTTAATTATTCTAAAACGTAATCTCGGATATTTGTGTAGGAAAAATAGCATGCCTTTTTTTAGTTGTTTAAACAGTTCACATATATAGAATAGTATTTCGTCCTCGTTCGTTAATAGGGATTTGTGAACCATAGTATGAATTTTCTAGATACTAATTACGTGGCGGCATGTTAAAGGCGGTATGAAACTGATATTTCTGCTCTTCGAAAAAGCATTAATTTATGGTAAGTGCATTTTACTTTATTCTTGTTCGGTTGATCTTTAGATTATGCTAACTTGGCGATTTTTTGGCGAAAATTTGGCGACCAACTCTGCTACAGCAACCCTCAATTTTTTTTTCGCCGCCATTTTGTCTTCACGAAGTAAGACTGTTTCTTTTCTTTTTATTTTACTCAACACTTTTTCCCAACATCTAGTACCGATTACAGTTATGCTAGAAATTTTATGTAACAAGCTGCTTAATCATGACAATATTAACTGCAAAATTGGGAAAAAGTGTACAATCGCAAACCTTGCACGTTTTTCAGAATAGCACATACACATAACCATTTACACGTCGACGTATTTTTTACTTAAAGAACATCCCAGAATTGCACAAAAATGGCATTGCACACACTCTTAACTATATCCATCTACACTGCTATTTTCTCATAATTAAAAAAATTTGCACGAAAATGCAAGAAAATTTTCTGAATCTTTAAATCGGTAAAAGCAGATATTGAAATACCTGATCGCGAAAAAGTATACACCTTCCAGGATGAACATTTCCACGTATATAAATAAAACATCCAAAGCTTTACCTCTAAATTATCTATTATATTTAAACGTTACCAACGATTTTACCGCAAACATAAATAGTTACAATACTTAGTGTCAAATATTTAATAATTCCATACACGTTTACTTTAACTGAACGTATACCAAATTGCTACAAACATAATTCACAAAATAACTATCATTTAATTAATATCACTAAACCATGTACACGTCCTTATTTTACTTAAAAAAACATCCCAGAATGCACAAAAATGGCATGCGCACACTCTTTCACTATATCCATGTACACTGCTTTTTTGTCATAATTAGAAAAATTGCACGAAATGCATGAAAACCTCAACGTATCTACTCAAACGTATTCCAGAATACTAAAACTATAATCATAAAATCACATCATTAAATTAAAATATAATTACATTAAAAAACACTACTTAAAATAAATAAGCACAGACATTAAATTAATAAAAGTTAGATTACAATCCTAATTACTTAAACTAAATTTGCTAATACAATTTTCCATAATACCATATTAATTTATTTCTCCTTATATTAGAAACAGCATAAAAATAAATCCTCAATGATTAAAATACTAACTTACCTAATCTTCTTCAGAATCTTCATTACGTGGCACGCCACTTCCTACAGAAAGGTTCCCATCGCTGCAGTACTACTGCATTTCTAAATCCGAAATCCAGTAGTCAACTGGCAGTCTTTCACCAAGTAATAAGAAATTAATAAATTTCACCCATACTCAAACTACTTTCAGCAAACCAAGTACCCTTCCTTACACTCCTTCCAAAATGTCCATTTTCACCAGATCTTCACCGCCATTCAAACTTATCTGTAATATCCTTCCTTTCACAATCTCAACTTATTATTATTATCAGATAACGCATTAAATTTAGAATTAACTTTATAGCCATGCAATCCGAAAATTAATC